TGTTTTTATTTTTATATTTTGGTGACTCGTAATGGATGTACGCATTTGTGACATGAAAAGCGAAGTTCCATTTTTAGCTATTTCATTTAGCACTTCGAGGTCAGCTGTCATTAGCTTCAAATTGTTAAGGCTTTCTTCTCTGTTATTATAAAACAAAAATTACCTCTTTATAACATAACTTAGTTATTTTGACAAGTTAAAATATACGAATATTTTACTTTCATATCACATAGCGAAGGGATTAACACAAGAGTAAATCTATCGATTGTAAAATAAATTGAGAAAATCGGTTCAGAATTGGTGAAATAAACAGGTAAAATAATAAACAAAAAACATACGAATTGATTACTTCCTTTTAGAAGTCTCTTAATAAATTAAATAAAGATTTTATAAATAGATTTTCTTTATAGATTACTATAGTTTACCCGTAAAATAGTTCGCGTCACAGGGATATATTTATTGACATATATTTAGTACGTGTATACTAAATTTCATAGTGATTGGTTAAGCTGTTAAGGCACTATGAGGGAACAAACAAACCAACGTTCATCAGGATAATGAAATAATAACCCAGATTGTGGTTACTATTTCGCTAACAGCGCTATCGGTATACGCTATTAGTAACCGTAAATAGAGGGGGGAAAGGGATTGATAGTAATGGAGACTGAGAATCCCATTGCTAGCAATATACCCAATCAGGTCGACCTCCTCACGGTACCCCCTGGAAACTATCACGGTTAATTCCTGATAAAGTCATCATGATGGGCTAACTGGCCTGTTTTCATTGTCATCGATCACCCTTCACTGGTTCTCCGCCAGCGTATCCCGTTAGCGCAGGCGGGGTTACCATACCATTTTCACTTATCAAAAAAAAAAACGTAAATAGATAGTAATATAGAATAAAGAAGGTCGTAATATTATGAAATAGAACAATATTGATCCTCACACCTACAAATGGATGTTCAAGTACTCGTTAATAAAAACGTAACTAATTAAACGATTACGTTCAATGCCTGCATATGCAGTTCCGTGATGCATATATGCATAAAGAGCAGGAAGTGCTAACTTAATAGGAACAATAATTATAGACTACGTATGCGATTATTTTTTTGTGGTAACCTTTTGAACTACATTGGTTCTTATATGCAATATTGGATTTTTATATGCAACTTTCAATATTTACAATATGAGGATAGTCGTGTTAGTTTAAATTAGATGTTAGGGTATTTTGCTTTGTATATACCAATATCGTAGCTACCGTTCTATTTTCGCCCATAATAAAATAAATTTGTTAGTAATGGAACACAAAAACCCAGTACTATCTTCTTTACATATAGTTAGTTGTACATAAAATACAACATGTAATAGAAAAATAGACAATTAAATGACTATTGGTCAGTGTGTTAAAGGGCTAAGAGGTAACAAACATATAGAATTAGTAACGACCAGTATTTGCCTGCAACTTTGTAAGGGTGTTTTAGTAACCACTTGTATATGGCATATAAGGTGCAACAATGAAAACCGCATTCAATATGATGCAGTAATTTTGACGGGACGGACAAAAATTCCAAAATTTCTTATTTTAGTTTATATTAAAACACCCGTTATATATTTTTTTTAAAAACCTCCTATGCATAGACATCATTTATCTATTATTTTATTACATTAGTAAGATTAGATAAATACAAATGTTTTATAGTCACAGAAGCAGGTTCAAAGCCGCGGGATACAGCTAGCTTCAAAATAAATACAAGATAAAATTAGCTTTATTCAATGACACAAATGCAATAGCGTACTCAGACATGACATTGCTGTGTAGTACGCGGTATATATAAGCGCATATATAGCTATAGGAAATCGGATCTTTGTTCAGATCTTATGGTGCGTGTCGAATGTCATTGGATCACCTACCATGCGAGACTCGTTGGATGTCAATCATTCGGTTCAATTTAATTGGCTTTTGTTTTCATTGACTATAGTACCTAGTAGTGTATAGCATGACTGCAGAAGGATATAAGAGCTGAGGAAGACCTTAAAAAGACATGAATGGACTGTGTGAAAGATGATATGGCCAGAGTGGGGGAGAATGAAAAGAACGGAAAAGAAGAACATATTACGCCGAGCTCAAATAAATAATTGGGATAAGGGTAGGAAGATGGTGACAATACCTAAGTATTATCATCGTCTTTAGCATCGCTAATAATGTTAGTGGGGGGAAAAAAAATTGATAGTAATGGGGATTAGTAGCCCCATTGCTAGCAATATGTGTTCCATTCCCTGTCAGGTCGACTTTCTCGTGGTTCCCCCTGGAAACCATCGTGATTAATTTATTGTTAGATTCGTCACGATGAGCTAACTGACCTGCTTCATCCTCACCTAACATCCTTCACTGGTGCCCCGCCAGTGTAGATCGATAGCGCAGGCGGGGTTACCATTCCATTATCATCCATTGAAAAAAAAAGTTAGTATACAATTAAAGGTATTATGATAGGAGTTTAAACACCGCTTTAGGATCTTATAAACAAAACAAACTAACAAACCCCCATGAAGACTCTAATAATATATTGAAAATGAAATCAATGGTTTCATATAAAACGGGCCTTTTTTTATGATTTGAAAGTTTGGATGTTTGTTAAACAATCATGCTAAAATGATTAAACAAAATTTTATGAAATTTATTACGTAGACTATAATTTATTACACATATCATTTACGAATCTACCCATATATGGTCATATGATGGCTATTGTATAATCTACATACAATATATAGGGTATTTACATATCTATTAATACATATAAGCAACACCGTGAAATGCAAATTAGTGTATTATAAAAAAAAGTCTATTATATATAATGATGAATGACGAGAGGTGAGACACAAAAATAACAAGCATGAAGTAGCATGCTGACGGGCCGCGGGCAATATAATGCAATCACTATAGAACTTTCACTCCTCAATCAACAACCTTCCGTTCTTCTTGTGAGGCGCATACATTTCGCTATTAATTACATATTTGTGACTTGTAGAGTCTATTATACATGAATGGAGCTGAACATACCATAAGTATGCAATAATTTTAAAAAGTCCGAGGGAGACTTTGTACGAAAGTTGTTTGCTTGCGCCCGTCTGTCCCATTCATGTTTCTATCGCGAAGCAGTTACGTTTGCATGGCTGTATTTCGGTTTGAAGGGTGGGATATAGCAGTGAAATTACAGGGTACAGAGGAATAACACCTGAGTCTTTAGGAATGGCAACGCATGTGAGGTATCATGGACGGAAGAGTATACTCTGTTATGTCCATGTTCTGCTCATGTCTATAGGCGACGGTTATCACTTTCCATTAGGTAGGCCGCCAGTTTGTTTGCCATTCTAAGTTGCATAAAAAAAAAGTCAATTTGATATTGACTAGAAATAGAAATGTTTGTAATTCTCATGCAGGGTGAAATCAAGTTTTTTTTTATACAACTTAGAATGGCAAACAAGCTGACGGCCCACCTGATGGAAAGTAGTAACAGAGTGTACTGTTTCGCCCATGATACCCCCCATGCATTGCCATTCCTGAGGACTCAGGTGTTATTCCTCTGTACCCTGTAAATTCACGCCATATCCCACCCTTCAAACCGAAACACAGCCATGCAAACACATCTGCTTCACGGTTGAAACACGAATGGGACAGAGGTACCCAAGCAATCGACTTTTGTACAGAGTCTCCCTCTGGTATAAGTTCTATAATATATCGTTTTAAGGGAATATTCTACCAATGCAATAGAATATCTTATTAATAAAATTGTAACTAGACGGCTTTAAATGGGGGATATATATAAGAAAAGTTGATATGGAGGAGTCTTAATAAGATCTCAATAGAAGCTAAAACAATTTTCCCAAGAGACTACAGTAAGGGGTTCTTCAAAAGGACAGTAAAGAGGTTTCTTCAGGGTTGGCAACGTGCGCATGATACCTCTGGTATTGCAGGCGTACATAGACTACAATAACCGCTTACCATCAGGTGGGCCATATGCTCGATTGCCACCTCAGTGGTATAGAAAAAAGGTAAAACAATGGCAAATTCCATTATCATCCATTAAAGAAGAACCCCCAGTATTACGTAGTATTTTGTTTTTCCAATCATATGTTATTTGAGATTCACTGAATGCTAATATTTTCAATTCACCTTAAATATTCAAGACAGGCACCAAATTCTCTCTCTACAGTAATTCTAAATGAATTTAACTGAAATAATGATAATTCTATTAAATGATAATAATCATGCCTTATTTCGCATTTTGTTTGCAAATTTTATTTTTGGGTATAATACAACTTTACATAGTTTGATTAACACTTATCAATTAGTAAATGTAAATAAATCATTATGTATGTGTGAAGTTAATTATGAATTTTATGAGACCCTAAATGAATAAAATACCCAAAGAGAAAAAACTGCAGTGTGTAGGAGTGTGTGAAAGAGGCAATATACCATAATTTTACGGGTGGCTACTTCTATAATAAATTGCTACAATAAATTATGTTCTCTATGGTATTTATTTATCCTTTGTGTCTATAATTAATGGATACAAATTTTCAATAAGCGTGATGCTTGATGCAGCAATTTTACCTCTCTAGACAAAAAATCTTTGCCACCCTTTTTAACTGTTAGGTATTGCCTCTACTACTTGTCTCTACTGTTGTCCACTCTACTTTCTAATAGGACTTGAAAATACTTTTTGGAGTGCCTAATATGACTCAAATTGGTAGGAAAATGGATAATTAATTAATATTTTAAGTGACCTTAAACCCATCCTGCGAAACTCCTATTAAGGGCTACATAAATTTTGAACATGGCATACAGCATTAAACTGAAAAGAGGAGATATGCAAGAGACTTATATGAAATCCTATCTTCAGTACAGTTTACAACAAAATATATGTACACTATTTTGAATACATACCATACATGAATCCAAAATAGTAAAAAATACAATACTATAAGTATGCACTTACTTTTGAGTATGTTGTCGAGTACAGCATAAAGATCTTTCTCCAACTTAACATACTCATTGTCCTCATTGACGGGCCAGTCACAGGACAGGTTCCAATCAATGATGTCCACTTTATTGCCAGAGTCATCTGGCAGTGTGTACAACCTGCACACAACATTCATATCTTCATATATAGATAGATCTCTTTATTGCTCCTTTCAAAGTATTATACATATACAAAACGTAAGTAAATATAAAAGTTGTAATTTAAATTATTATTAAAAAGGGGTAAGATTTCAGTTTTTGTTTATAAAAAATGCTTAACTAATTTGTTTTAAATTGTGCATGCTAATCTCTGAAACTACTTAACCAATTTTAATGAAATCATGAGAAATAGAATGGTTTTTATACCAATAAGAAAAAAATTGGCAGAAGGTAATTTTCAATTCAGCAGATAATGTTTTACCTCCTACCACTACCTACAGTTAATATTACAATAAACAAATGGCTCTTCTAGTAATCAGTAAAATAATAATAGAAGGACTATTCAAAAGCATATTGCAGAAGATAGGGTTTCAGAAATTTTGTTAAAATCTTATAAAATTTTATTACAAAAGATTATTAAACCATCAACAAGAAATTTGAAATCTATGTTGACATTATGTGTCAGTATATAGTATAAGCATTAATTAAATTAACAACACACAATTAAATATTTAGTTATATAAAAATGTAAATACATTTAAATATTTAGTTATATATTTATTTACTTTGGATATCGTTTGGTGAAATCACAGACAATAGCAACTGCTTTACTGAAATAGTGAGCTTTTATATATGAAAATCTAGGAGCACAACCCAGAGAATCAAGAATTCTTGATAAAATCCTAAACTTTAAATTAGTTCAGTATTTTCTTATAAAAAATTACAACAACAATAACATTGAACTTCTTCAATGACAATATAAATTTGTTTCAGTTATTTGTTTAAAATAAGTTTAACAAATTTTTCTACATTTTTTTTTATTAGTAATAAAATTTTTAATATTGGCTATATGATACTATTTAAAATACTAATCTATATACTTTTTTCTTTTTTTTTAATTTTAATAATTAATAGATATAAAAATAAGAATTTTAATAGGACAAATATTGTGAACGAGGTGACATTTCTACCGACCAAGATACATGCCCTAATAAACTTAAAAAATGTTACGACTAATATAATATCATGTTCCTCTAGTTAGTAAAGTACTCACCATGTCTGACTATCGGAAAAATCCAAAGATTCCACGTCGATTAGATCAGAATCAATCATATCTTTGTTTATATTTTGTTCAACCTGATTCATAATACCAGTAAAGACGAAACATCAATTTGGCACTATATATAAAATCACTAATAATTTTTAAGAAATAACTACATTTAATATATCAAACACTGTAAATATATAAAGAAAAAGATGTAATATTTAGTTAGAACCAACACGAAATTACACCAGACAAATAGAGTTTGGAATTTGACATATCACCATAGGCTAGAAAAATAAAGATAAAACTGTCAAAAAAAAAGGATAAACAACGGTAATTTCCATAGATAATGAAATCTATAAAACGCGTGCAAAATCATCAAAACAACACTTATTAGTAATAATAATGTTTTAATCCTATTTATTAATCACTGTTTTTAATATATGCAAACATAAATTTATAATTTGATCATTCTAAATTATGTGCTTATTCTTTATGGTTTCTTAGTGTTGTCATGTCGTTTGTATTCGGAACATTTTAATTAATGGTTGAAAATAAACACGCTTTATTATTTAGTCTTTTTGACGTATTCTGTTTAAGAATTTTAACAATTATAGGGTAAAGAGGCATAATACCTTAGTGTTAGGAATGGCAATGCATGAAGGGTATCATAAGTGATACAATATACTCTGTTGTGTCCATGGTACTGTCTATGTCTATAGGCGACGTCGCGACGGTACATCACTTTGCGTACGGTGGACCGTCACCTAATTGCCGTCTTAAAATACATAAAAGAGAAACAAGCTGTCACCTACAAGAAAAGAATCGTTGATCTTACTAGTCTGTTAAATAATATTCTCAAATATGTTAGTAATTGTAAATAATGAGAATGCAAGGTAATTTAAAAGGAGAACTTGAAATATGCAATAAAATATTGTTTTATACGTTCATCTTGACGTAAATTTATATGAATATATATCGAAGTGATACATTATATTACTAAAAGTCACCACATTACAATTTTAGTTAGTCACAATAAATTTACAATTTTTACATTTTTATTCATCTGACTACAGCAAATTGTTCTAAAATATTCCTTAGGCAAAAATTTAATTTTTTTTAGACTTTTGGCCAAAAGTCAAAGCAATTTGTCAACGGTACAGAGTAAGTACACAAATATGACTCATATAACAAAGAATAATAAATAAATATTCCAAATTTATAATTAGATTTAATTTGTAATCATAAACTGTAAAAATATTATATATTTAATGGTTCAAATGTTAAGTTAATTGCTCAACCAATTGTTATAAACTTTGTCACGCATAAAGTTCTAAGAATAGAAAAAACATTTTATTACTGTCTTGAAAGAAAGGTCAGCAACTTTCATAATAAATAATGTTTTTAATAGCAATATTCGGTATATTGGGTAAATTATTATTTTTATATGGTATTACTGATACTGTCATTGAATATTTCGTTAACATAGACAAGTTGTCAAAAGCTGTCAACTAATTGTCATCTAATTTTCTTATTCACCTCTTCCTTTTTGTCTACGGACACGTCGTGAGCACGTTTTAATTTTTGTAGTTTTTACGAAAGAAATACAAAAATGTCGTCTCACCTTAATTGGATGATTATCCGTAATAATAACGCTTTTCTTGTGAAGAAGCGTAACATCAGAAAACCATTCAGCAAGGAACCAAACAATGTGACTAACCTAAGCTCCTACAGATACAACGGTTTGATTCACAAGAAGGCGATCAGCGTGGTCGAGAATCCTGACAGGAAAGGTTTCACTGTGGTATACAAGAAGGCTAAAGCAACAAACAAACCTGCAAAGAATGCGATTCGCCGCCCATTCAAAGCCGGTGCGAGGAGATCCCTCTATAAGGTAAAGAGATTGCTGCAAGCAAACCACTACCGTACTGACTTGACAAAGGCGACGCTCCGTCGTGCATCAGCCATTCTCAGGTCCCAAAGGCCCATTAAGCAGAAGAAACCAAAAGCGGCGGCTGCCAAGACGGAATAACTTTGTACATAAGCTGATAATAAAAAAAGATTAAAAAAAATCTTTTTTTTAATTCTTTTACCTTTATAGTTAGTAAAAATATCACAATTTTTTTTTAATAACGAATATTGTACAACTTTTCTCTGCTTGTATAACTAGAGTTGCCAAAGACAGAAAGCAATGGAAGTTGGTAGTTTTTGCCAAGAGCCACACCAAGCTTTGAGATATAAAAACCATATATATGTATGTATATATATATATATATGTATATAAATATATATATGTATATATATATATATACATATATATGTACAGCTGGGAAGGGATTGTTAGTAATGGAAACTATTAACCATATTGCTAGCAATATATTGTCAGGTTGACTTCCATACAGTCCTCTTTGAAAACCAACAGGATATTTTTTTTATAAATTCAGCACGATGGGCTAACTGACTTGCTTTCATCTTCAATATCATCCCTCACTGATGCCTCACTAGTATACATCATTGCATTACTATTCATTAAAAAATAAAGAATTTTCATCAGAACTACTGCATTGTCTCTGCCTGTAAATTATATTCAATAGTTACCACTTTACATGAATACAATTGGTTTTTTACAATTTTTCACATTTTTTTTATTATAAAGGGTCATAATGACATGGTATTTGGCCATCTGTATACATATTTGGGTTTTTGTTGTAGGCTTTCTTAATTTCAATTGAGCATATAGAAATCTTGAAGACTCAACTTCTTTTCCTTTCTGTGACCAATAATAATAAGCTTCTTCAAGCTTTCATGAAAAATTTACAATGATATTCTTAAGGAGACATGAACAAAATTTACATCAATATTTATGCAGATTGTGTAAAAGGCATATATTTTGAGATCCAATAAGATTTTTTCTTTTACAATATGTATTAATTTTTCAACCATTCACCATGTATGTTGCAAGCTTGTCATAAATTTGGACAAATCACAATGCCAGTATCTAATATTAGGAATAGAAACTAAATTATGACAAAAAAAATAGAGATAGGGTACTGTCAGACTGAGGGTAGACATGATAAATAAACAGAATATTTTACCAATGAATTTATTAAAAAAACAAACCATGATTTCATCACATAATCTGGAATGTAAAGCAATAAATGTAACACTAGTGAAATATACATTGGTTGTAAATAATAACTGCTACTTTAGCCTCTTACATGATTATACATTATATTAAAATAAAAACAGGTCTCTAATTCTGGCAATACGCATTAAATTAAAGTGCTGTACGAATATGAATAATTACACTAAAATCGTGTAAACATTTATTAAGTATTTACAATATATAAGTATCACATATAATTCTATACATTTATGTCAAATACTTTGAAAAAAAATCTTTGATATGATAAACTATTCAAATAATATATCCAACACTAGCTGCAAACAAATATATCAATATATGTGCTACTGTGTGCGAGAAATAGATGGCAATACCCATTTTAATTTTCTCACGCATACACAAACAAATAATCCCCTTATTCATAAAAACTAAAACATGCTACAAACCTATTTTAACTATTAGAGGGTTTTGTTGCTGTTTTTTAAATTGCTCAATTAGAGCAAAAGAAAAACCAATAGTTCAATCGCTACATAGGTTTATATTTGACTTTTTTATAAATAAAGGGGTTAAGTAATTGTCGATAGATTTGTTTGCTACTTGTATTCTATACATATTTAGGACCTTTCACATATGCAGCGTGCAGTGTTTACTGATTGTATGGCCATGGTAAACACAGGGTGGCACCGTCGCTGCTTTGTGTGAAAGAGCCCTTATAGAATGAATTCCATTAAACCATATTTTTACAAAAGGACAAGCTTATAATACCTTAGGTTGAAAAAAAAAATGGATAGGCAGTTTGTGCATTACAGAATTATAATTGACAAAAAAATTATATATGTATTTTTTTAATTGTGTATTACTGAGGAGTAATTTGCCACAATATATTAGGATTTTGCACATTCATCTACTAATACTACTGTACTAATTACAGTTTGTATTAAACTAGCCTAAAACCTAAACTTTCAATGTGTCAAAGTAATTATTTTCTAGTTGAAGGTAGTACTGCGTCTATGAAAAGCTTCAGGTACAAAATACAGTAGACATGAAAATAAAAGGCACAAACATTAACCTATCATTATAAAGGCACAATAGACCAAAATTCATATTTTATATGTTGTTACATGGCACAATCGACTTTAGAAAGAATAATGCAATCGAGACAACCAGTTGGATCAATAAGTAATTATAAATATATAAAATCGAGCTTACAGCCCACCTAATAGAAATAACGATTACCTATAGACAAAAGCAGCACCATGGATACCATGCTATATATAGTGACACCTATGGTTCATATTGCTATTCTCAAGGACTAGATGCTATGTATCCATAATCTGTAATTCTATACTCTGCCACATCCTACCCATCAAACCGAATGCAACCGTTAAGCATAACTGCTTTACAGCTAAATCACGAGTAGATCAAAGGTATCCATGCAACCAACTTTTATATAAAGTCTTTCTCAGTAAATATAGTAACTTGAGTGCTTAAATAAACCAAAGGATAAAGTCCATATTTTTGGAGCACCTTGGACTGAATAAATGATGGATATATCGATTTTCGAGTGACATCTGCTATTATTTATACCCATTTTCTAAAGTTATTTTAAACTTGTTTTTAAGGTTATTTTTTTATAGATTAACGAAAGTATAACGTTTAAGTTATAGAGAAAGAATGACGTTAAAAATCGACTACAATGATTGCCTGGAATGACTAAAATTATCTAATGCCGATTGTGACCACAGGATTCAATGAGCATGAAACATAATTGTAATATTAGTGTAACAAATTTAAATGTAAACACATCAATCAACATACATTGTTTTATTTCTAAAAACTAGAAACACACTATCGTGTGATGTAACACGTTAGAAACCATAAGGTTCATACATTTAGTAAAATCGCAATATCGCTAGCCTTATTGTATGTATGAACCCATTAGTGATTTTATTATTTTCCCGTAGCACGGCATTGTACCATGATTGTATGATGTATGATTTTATCGTCACGATATAGAAAAGGAGCAAAATGTATGGTGTGTGATAACTTTTAATTTCTATACACGTAAAGAATATCGTCACACTGTATACGAACACGAATTTTTTTTTATACAACTTAGAATGGCAAACAAGCTGACGGCCCACCTGTTGGAAAGTTGTAACCGTCGCCTATAGACATAAGCAGTACCATGGATATAACAGTGTATATTGTTTCGTCCATGATACCCCCCATGCGTTGCCATTCCTGAGGACTCAGGTGTTATTCTTCTGTACCCAGTAAATTCACACCATATTCCACCCTTCAAACCGAAACACAGTCATACGAGGTTTGTCCGGAAAGTACGTATAAAAGTTTTTTAAAAATTTTATTTTACAATTATTCAGGTAAATCAATTTTATCCCCTTCAAAGTACTCCCCCTGTGACATAATGCACTTGTGCCAACGCCGTTTCCACTGTGAGAAGGCTCCTTGAAAGTCCTCTGGTTGTAGGTTTCTCAGCTGCCCCGTCGTAGCTTTTTTTATCTCATTTATGTCCCCCAAATGCCGCCCCCGAAGTACCAATTTGGTTTTTGGGAACAAGAAGAAGTCACACGGGGCCAAATCCGGCGAATAGGGGGGATGTTCGGTCACCGTAATGGAATTTTTACTCAAAAACTCACGGACAACAAGAGAGGTGTGGGCAGGGGCATTGTCGTGGTGAAGAATCCAACGCCCCTCTCGCGCCAATTCTGGACGAACTCGTGCCACACGAGCTTTGAGGCGTCTGAGCACATCGACGTAGAATTTTCCATCAACTGTCTGGCCTGGAGGGACGAATTCTTGATGGACAATCCCCCGAACATCGAAAAAAACAATCAACATTGTCTTGACATTTGAGCGGGATTTTCTTGATTTTTTTGTTCGTGGTTCCCCGGATGTCTTCCACTCTTTGCTTTGGGATTTTAATTCGACATCAAATTCGACATCAATTTCACGGCCATTCTTGCCGAGTTTCGAGAGAAACTTGATTACGACGCGCTGCTCTTCAACGGAAGCGGGCTCCATGCCGACGGGGTTTCAATATATGGCGTGACAAGCCAGTTCGCACCGCACGGCGGTCAGACCAGAACTGAAGCATTGTTAGGGACATAAGGAAACCTGGCCTCCCCACTCCTCTTTCTCGCATTCCAGAACACTTTTATACGAACTTTCCGGACAGACCTCGTATAAACACAACTGCTTTACGGTTGAAACACGAATGGGACAGAGGTACCCAAGCAAACGACTTTTGTACAAAGTCTCCCTCTGATACGAAAATATGGCAGAAAACATTCAAAATGTATGCAGTTTGCTTGCCTATTATACCGTATAGGTAAAATTTTACAATATATTACTTTGCAATATAAAAGATAAAATGTATGGATTTGTATTGAATTTCCGTATACAATACTATCATACCGTACATGTCCACGATATCGTGGCAGAAAACATACAAATAGGAGACCAAAACATATGCTTTTTTTTCTCTTTAAAATTCTACGATACAGTAACCGTGCTAAGGTAAATTATAAAAGCGTTAATTAGCTAAATGGTATTTTTACAACGCTTCACAACTATACAGTGTGTTCCCAATTCGATACGACGACGTTACGACTACGTGTATATATTTCTAACAGTGTACAAGACAATATGAACATCGAATAATTTGGGACAAAATATATCAGACATATATTCGACATAACTACGTGAAGCTCATGTAATATTGACGCTTGAATTTCGTTTTTTTATTTATTTATAATACATTTCGTTTTAATTCATCGTTTTTATATCTATCTAAACACGTTTAACTATTATAGGCACACATTTAATAATTCTAAATATATATAAGTTTAGTTCATTTATAATTATTATTCGACGTATGAGAAGGCAGTAGAGAGGACGATGTTATTGTCAGAGTAAATGAATATAATAATAATAATAATCTATGACCTCCTTATTCATAAAAACGTAAAACCACTTTTAAAACACGTTTGTTGGAATAAAATAAACCCATTTTTATTAAGAATAAAAAAAAAAAAGAAATTATGAATAATTTTTTAAATTAAGAATTATGCTCAAATGAGACAAAATTTCTACAGCTAAAAAAAGGTTTATAAAATATTTTGACGTTTAATGAATTAGGGGGTTAAATTATTATAGTAATACTGAAACGGTAATAATGATGGCATAATAAAGCTTCATTTGAAATACCTATATCTGACAATAAACAAGTACACATAAAAAAATTAAATTTTATACCACTAATAAGGTGGTGAATAATTGGCGATTTGATGGTAAGTGGTAGCATAGCCCACGAACTGCAATGCTATCAAAGTCGATTGATTGTCAACCTTAAAGATGGTAAACGCATTGGTATCACATACTCATAGTATACTTTGCTTTAAAAATGCAGTTGCATCAAATATTGCTTGTGATATAACATATTGCAGTCAGGAACATATTGATAAATGCCAATCCTACATAAACTACTATAACACTAAACAATCATAAACACTAGATATAGACAATTGTTTAAGTATATAGGTGTGTTTATTAAAATCAATTTATATTATTTATTAAAGAATAAAAATAAACTTTTTTAATTATATTTAAACCTTGCAATATAGAACGTGTGAACAGGGTTGCTGATTTAAACATTGTTTCCCTCGATATAATCAGATGTTACTCAACAAATTTTACTATGAGTTTATGAATATGCAGTTTAAGGTTGAAGTTGTAAGCACAACTCTGGCCCAAGAGTTTGGATTTAACAGATTGTACACTTTTGGTACAGTGCTATAGTACCACAAGTATTACTTATTCACATTGTTATTAAAAATTAACTATCTTGGAGTGTCTCTTATAAGTTAGAGTTTTAAATATTTTCAAAAAAGTATATGGAACGTGATAAATACGACTATGTATCTACCACGTTTAAACTACCCAAAACATCGTGGATATTAGCGTTATGCCGCCAGTTATACAAAATTATAAATTTCAGTAGAAATTTGTAATTATAATATAAAGTATAATATAAAATGTATTACATACCTATGACATAATAGCCAAATAAAATAAAAGTAACTCCAACAGTTATACTTACACTTACTTTGTGAGCAATTTTATATAGTGACTTTATATAATTTACATTTATTATATTTATTTAATAATTTGCATTTATTACGAATTCCTGTTAGTGCTTAAAAATTCAAAATTAAAACTATAATTAGAATTAAGTATTCAGTTTACTAAGTCGTTAATACAAATCACTTGAGATAAATGCAAGTCTTTGAAATGATGTTCATTTTGTACTAATTCATAGTTCAGACAATACATAGTTCAGACAAATAGAATTATTAAAAAAAAAAAACATTTTTAATTCTACATGCGAAATATACAATATTTCACTAAGAAATAAAAAAAAAAATGCCAATATAAAGGTATGTTCAGACATGTGTAATTTGTTACATTACAAATTAATTAACGCAAATAGCGCTATATTATATTATAAATATGTAGCGTTACATACATACATACATTATAGGCATGCCTGAGCTATGTGTAATACACGTAGAATCGCAAAATTCGCGTTACATTACAGAATAACATATATGTTATATTACACAAGTATGGACGCGGTATTCGCGTTTATACTCCTATGACATCATGGAAAATTATTCAGAATGGTAAAATTCAATATAAAATACATAATTGCTCATTTATAAAATCTTGAGACTCACTCATGATATTTTACAAAAGACAAGAGTGTGTTTGCGAATTTAGACATGAAAGATAGATGAAAATTCGGAAAGTTACTAAAAATTCAAAATTAAAACTATATCTGACATCTGGGAGGATACTGAAATGTCCTACAAAACATTGTGACACGTGGACTACCCCAGTGGGTTGAATAAGAATAACAAAATTACCATAATTTTGAGAACATATTAAGTACAACTTAATCTAAGACATTCTTAGGTATACCTGTGTCAAATTCCATTATTTTGTGCAGAGAATTCTAAATTCTCCATATAGACTGGATATTAATCAATAAAAATGTGACAACTAAAACTAAATGGTTGTTTTAAATTAAATATAATAGAAAATGACTAGCAGACATAATTTTACATTTCTTAATATAATACTTTGTACATTTGTATGCGAGCTGTTTACAAAATTATCTACAGTATTTTTAAGTCTGTCACTGGAATGTTAGTTTAGTAAATTAATTAAAAAAAAAAATGTATATTTTTGAATATCGTAATATTTTTGAAGCAATAATTTTTCAGGTCGAATTTCTTATTAATATAAAACTTAGTCAGTTGAGTTTTACGAATACTTTGTAGCTAACTTCAAAAAGATTACAATGGCTTACGAAGAACTGTGGCAACGTCGCTATTACATGTCAATTTTCAAAAACAAAGAATTTTCAATGTTTTCGATTGATTATTTAAAAAGTGCTCTGCTTAAGAACTAAAATGTTAATCATACAATACGTTACAAATAAATCTACTATTTAAAAACTTTGCACCTGCTTCACATTCTTTTTCATTTTCAAATACTTTTTTGGCATCTAAATAAAAAAAAAATAGTTTCCAACGAACTAAAACGTTATCCATGCAAACCAAATGCATGGTAAACGCTTTAGTTCGCACATTGAAAATTCTTCAATTATTTTTTAATATTGACAGATAATTGCGATGTTGCCACACTTCGAACTAAAGTTACGAACGCTCTTAAATAAAAAAAAACTAGACTAGTTGTGACACATTGGACGACAAATAAATGCAAATAAACCATAACAAATTCCTATTTTGTAAACAGGGGACCACCGTTGACGCATGCACAGCCAACGTCGCGTCAAGCACCAAAACTAAATTATGTGCGTTTAGTTTAATTAAACAAACATCACCACTCGAGGTCTAACGCATTACGTATTAACTTTTAAACTCGCGTTGCCATGGTTTACGGTTTTTATGAAACCAAAACTATGATATAATACAAATAAATTATCATAGTTTACCTAAATGATCACATTAATTCCTATCTCTTATAAACCACCACGCAAAATTGCTTTGACAAAAGATGTCAAACCATTTTTTAAAACAGCAAGGATCCAGGCTTATTTAAAAAAAAAAAACTAAAGAATAAAGTAATATGATATGATACCATACCATACAGAAAAATTATTAAACAATAATTTTTAGAATTTTCATCTATTTGTTTATACATTTGTGCATGTTAATCTCAGAAATGACTTAATCAATTTGAATGCGGTTTTCATTAATGCGTTGCGGTTTACTTCACTTAAATAAGAAAGTTATATCAATGTAAAAAAATCACATATACAATGCTATAAATTAATCGATCAGTTGAATTGCCTGAAACTTTTTTTTATTATATGTATTGATTTTAGAAAATTCTGTTTACGTGTGTGAAGTCGGGTCGGATCGCTAGTTGCCAATAAAAACCTTGTTTATTGTAATATTGTACCCAATAATAAAGAGGATGTGCTTACAAATATAAAAAAAAATGCAACTAACTCTTTCCATTTCAACATCCATGCTCAGAAACAAAGAATCATCTCTTTTTCTATACTTGGTACAATTAATATTTAATTTTGGCGTTATTTTTATTAAATTTAGTTACTGGAACTGTATCAGAAATTATAAGTTTATTTTTTGTATTGTGCTGTTTGTGCTTTGGTATTTTTTTTTATGTTTGAAACAAAGTTTGGTTTGAGGGGGGTAGTGTTGAAGTATGTTTTTGTTTATGCTTTGTTTATGGTGATATAAAATGAAAAAGGTTGTTTTTTATTTCTCGTTTAATAATTGACTTGTAATAACATATTTATTTGACGTGTATATAAAATTGAAATATAAAATAATATAATAATAAATAAGTAGTAATTTTTTTTTAATTAGATATTAATTATTTAATGCTCCGCATGAAAATGTGATTTCAGTGTACAGTCAAATGATTTCCATGTAGGTTCTGCTTCACAATAGTTTCTTTGCTTTACTAAGAAAAATAGCAACTTCAATGGTCATAAAATTAAAATAGGACCATCACTATAGATGAGAGCATACGTTGGCATAAATAATTGTAAAAATCGATCCACAATTAGCCATGTTATCGCTTAACATAATCACAAAAAAATTTTGACAAATTAAAAAGAAAAATTCTTCTATTAGAATTCTCTAAATAAATATCAGAGCCAAGTATAGAAAAATATAAAAACATATTATTCACACGCCAATTTGCTATCGAATGAACTGAGCGCTATACCGAACGCTTGAAGGGCGCAGAGCGGATACCTATAGTCCATAGTGAAGACATCCTCCGATATCCGACCGAACTGCATCACCACATAGTCCGGTTCAGACTCGTGGACGATTTGAAAGTTTTTCACACTCGCCTGTGTGACTCTGCCGTGGAAGTTGAGTACGTACGATTGTGTTTCATCATTCCAGACGGGTGTTTTGTTATGAAGCACGACTATATCGTCTAGGGTCTGGCTCTTCCAGCGTTCTAGAAGGGTTTCGCTGTCGTCCTGCGGCGCGATGGTGACCCGCTGCCTGTCTTGCGTCATACCCGGCAGGATTACTGTCATTTTGCGTGGACCTTTGAATCCTAATACATTTGTATCCTGGAAAAGAAATAATCACAATTGAATGTGAATGGAGTAAAAGATTTGAAATATCTCTCAGGAAAGAACAAAGTGCCTCCTTACATATCTTGTTTTATTATACAACCTCTTATTGTATATATGCATTTTAAGTCATAGAGATAGCGACAAAATAAATAGCATAACAAGGGGACTGATTCCAAAACCAAGTCTTTTTCGTATCCTGTTTTAGAATACAGAGGTTTATATTTTTAATTATCCTATCATTTGAGTTAAAGGTAAATAAAAAGACTGTATTAATTCGAGGGTTTCGAGGGTTGACGGAACTTTAGTAAAAATAATATTGATATTTGAGAAAAAACTTTCAACCAACTTTAAAAAAAAAGAGGTTCAAAAGGAAAGAACTCTCTCAGTTATAAACGGATTTGAAAAAATCTTTTATTTATCTCAATAGATATAATTATACATTGGTACCATATATATTTTATTAAAATTGTTTCAGTATTTTATTTTATAAATCAAAATAGCTAGTTTTAATATTAACTAGCTAACGAAGTTTTTTTTGTGAAGTTCAATTTAATACTTATATCCCAAAAATGGGCCATTACCTTTATATGTAAAAAAAATTATAACACTTACATAGACGACAGCGGCGAGTTCGTGCCTGGTGCGCGCGTGGTCGTGTTTCCTCCAGGCTTTGCCATTATCATACACCGTGAACGCGGTGCCCAGTAAGTTAGAGCGCAGCTTGCCCGCAAAACTGTCTGCCGTGCGGGTCAACTCGGTTGGATCAGTGGAGATTAAGTAATTGGATGTTGCAGACTTCTTGCGTTTGCGAGCTGTAAGAAACAGTTGCAATGTTGTTATAATAATAATAATAATAACCACAAATATTTTTTTATAAATAATTAATTGTTTTTCATTAACTTGTATAATTCAATTAAGTCATTGATGTATTTTGCTTTTTGATTTTTCACTAATTTCTCAATTTAATTTAGCCTACTATGATGAATTCAGCAATAAATCAATCACGATAGTATTTAGGGAGATCCGCGTGGAGGTCGACTTGATAGTGTATATTGCTACCTCAGCTAATAGACTAGAAGTGTTATGAGGATATATGAATATTAATTTATTGAGATAAATTGAGAGGTGAATTTTAACCTTCTTCTTTCATAAAGACATCAAATCGTATTGGTATTTAATTTTTGCTAAATATAATACAAGGACTTCAACCTTTATATATTTCTTCCTATCTTTGTGTTTCAGAATTTCAAAATTAAAATATACATACCAGCTAATAGAAATACTTTTTTTCCATAATCTTTCTCAAGGTGCAGGAAGTACGTTGGATACAGGCCACGGTCCATTCCCTTGCGGTCTCGAGCTATCCGACACTTGTACAGCGTGCCGTGCTTCGCTGGCGTCACCACAAACGTCTCCACAGCGCCCTCTACGGAGCCTTCTATTTCCGCAGTCTGCAAAAATATATTTAGATATACATTTATAAATTAGATATAGATATATAATCAGGGTTCGGAAGGTTGTTATCTGTTGAGAAGAGTCCGCAAGAAACTCAACAGTTACTCTTATAAATCTCTGTTAACACACATATATAAAGTGCACATATTTTCTTAAATGTACTATGTATAAAAAAACATCAGTCTATCGACCTCAATAGTAAGTGTGGCGTTACAAGTTTATTAGAATCGTGAGCCATTCCCATTGTACCTTTTTTTTATAACACAGGGGGCAAATGAGCATGCGGCTCACCTGAAGGCACCCAAAGGCATTGCAGGTGTACTGCCGGCCTTTTAAAAAGGAATATGCTCTTTTTTTGAAGGTTATGATGTCGAATCGGTTGGGAAACACTGCTGCTGGAAGTTGATTCCAAAGAGTGGTTGTGCGTGGAAGAAAGTGCCTTGACAAATGCACGATGGAAGACTGCCATACGTCCAAATGGTTGGAATGAAATATTAGTTAATGTAGGGATATAAATCGTACCTACAACGATGGAGCTATAATACCGTGCTTGAGCGTATATTGTTCTTAACACTACCTACATTTTAAGTCCAACATGGATGTTATATCAAAATAAACGTTCATACAATGATTTAGATAAGGAAACACTGTTATCACAAACCAACTGATACAGTTAAGCTTATTTGATGTAAGTAAACAGTTTGTTAATTGCTTATCATTGAAACACTATTTATAACTAAGGCTTTACTTTTAGTACTTGATATTTTAATATTTATATGTTTAAGGTAATTTTTATCGAATTTAAAAAAAAGAAGGTTACCAAATTATCTGTATTTTTATATGTACACACGCGATATGTTTATTGGTTAAAAAAAATTCACACGACTTTTTTATCACAAGAGTTTATTCTCATGTTAGTCCCATTTTTATATTGTCAAGTCTAAAGTCCAAATTTTATAATTCATTTTGGAACAATCAAAAAGACGGTTTTCCTTTGGACGAAAAATTACTATATGTATTCTCAATGAATATGTTATAATCATATGAATGATGGGACGGGCAAGAGCGTCCCTCTGATTGTAAGTAATGGGGAGGTAAGTCTCCATTGCTATCAATATACTCTATCAGGTCGAAACCATCGTGATTAATTTATCGTTGAATTCGTCACGATAGGCTTACTGACCTGCCTTTTCATCCCTCACTGGTGCCCCACCAGTGTATACCAATAGAGCAGGCAGGTTCCCTCTTAAAAAAATACTAAAAACCTTTCTGTTGTTACCAACCCGCCTGCCAAGCGTGGCAACTACTGGCAAAACTCCTCTTATGGAGAAGCCTATGTTCAGCAGTCGATGTTTAGCGGCTGAGAAAATAATAAAATGCAATTTATGTATGTACATATCCTTAACAACTGATATAAATGAATGCATTTTACCAGTTTACAATAGTTAGTTTTTAACAGTTTACCAACCTGGCTAGGTGAAACATCGCGGTTGGCGCACCTCGCCTGCATGGGTGCCACTGCAGCATCAGCGCACACGTCGTCGGCGCTGGCGTCCCGGCCCACGCTGCATACAGGCACGCTTTCCTCTTCTTCTTCCCCGCTGCCAGAGCCATCGCCCACCGTGAGCACTTCTATCTGGTTGCCGAGCTCTGAAATTTTTTTATGTACCATCATTTCACTTGAAAAGACTTGCGCTTTATAGGGTCGACCATAATAGTCCTCTGTCAAGCCTTGACAGTGAGAATAAAAGATGACACTAGAATAAAGGATTGCATTAAATCTACGTAAGTGTACAGTTCTAATTTCCAAATAACTTTTTCGGGGGCGGGGGGGGGGGGGGGGGGGGAAGGTTAGCGCAGGCGGGGTTACCATATCATTTTCACCCATAAAAAAAAAACTTTTTCGTCGTCAATTGAAGCATCGCTAAAAACGTATTAGACTTAAGTATTTAGACTGAATAAATATATAAATACATCATACACCAGTGCAAGATAATGAAATCTCGAAATTTTTTACCAAGCTGCCTGACAAACGTGATAAAAGTAGGTAAATGTCCTAAGTGAGACAGATTCATACTCTGAATTACTATTATATTTCAAATACGAGTATATTTCTTTACAGGCTAAGGTCGTTGACCATGCTGCCTAGTCTTAAATTTGCATGTATATTTGGTTACGTTCCGAACCCGTCATTCGATTTTTGAATTCGAACAGCGAATTCTACGTATGCAGCAATACCATAACTAATTTTATCTAAAGATTGATCGTTTCATTCATCGAGGTGTCCGTATACAGAAGACATCGTTTCGAATTATTTGGGTATAACATGACTTCATTTGCAAATTCAATCTTATCTCCTACATGTATCTTATCTTATATTTGGCTAAGTTGATTTTATTTTCTTTTTATTATAGCTGATGCTGTATTTTTAGTTGATGTAGCAGTAAATCCGGCGATAAAATCTAATGATAGGTAACGACTTAATGAAATTCGAAATCCAGCGCTTATTGTCAAAATAAAATATGGTACAAAAGGCAGACTTAATGCTAGTAGCATTCTCTACCAGCTAACCTTTGGGATGAACACTGAATCACGATCGCGGTATTTCATTATTCGGATAATTAAAGAAAATAACAATAATGTATAATTATACAAAATAATACATACTTAAATATAAAGGCATATGCATGCATATATATATATATAATATATAAAAGATGACGACTAGCTACTATTGTTGTGATGAATTCATAAGAAGAGCACAAACTTTTCTTTTGAACATGAATTTTGGAAGTTCTTACTTCTTCTATACTTTCTTTCAGCCAGTGCATTTCAAAGTCGTGAAGTTTTGATGGTGAAAGAGTCTGACATAAAACCAGATTGGTGAAGTTGTGTGAGAAGTGAAAGGGAAATGGATAACTACAAAAACTAAAAAAGGAAAAAAAATATTCGAATGAAAATTAAGATGTGTTCATGTTCCAATTACTCCAGTTGTAATCCAACCGATTAAATTCGATCACTGGACTGGCATGATATGATGACTGGCATCAGCAGTTTTTCCAATATTTTTCTAATGGAATATTACCTTATACAGCATTACTCATTCGTTACTGTTTTCATAGTACTTGACTCAATTTACTACAAAGAATACATTATGTATCCACAAATTATGACTAATACCTGTTCAATGAATTTATCACCTATACCTACATTGTGAATGTAAAGTATTCTGGTTAGAGTTCTACTAACTGGTAATGAAAATTTTGCAGCCTTTTTACTGTTAATAGTAAAGATGTGGGAGAAAGGGATTGTCAGTAATGGGAATTTACCAGCTCCATTATTAGTAATATACTCTATTAGGTCGACCTGCACACAGTTCCACCTGTAAACCATCGTGGTTAATTCTTGTGGAATTTATCACGATGGGTTTACTGACCTGCTTTCTTTCTCACCTATCATCCCTCACTGGTGACCTGCTAGTAGCGTATACCAATAGCGCAGGTGGGGTTACTATTTCATTATCATCCCACAAAAAAAAAATAGTGAAATGTATGAAAGGAGATGTGGAGAACACAGAGTAACCTTATGAAAGCAAAGTAAATAAGACATTTATTAAATATCTGGGGAGATACCGAGCTTGTGGAGCCCTGAATATCAAAATAGATTTAAATGATTATCAAAATATTAAAAAAATTAAGGTTTCAACAACATATGAGCTTCACAGTCTATTTAAACATATTTGAAATCTTTACTAAGTTAGTTACTTATTAAGTAACTAGTTCTTGTAAAATTGAATAAAATTCACTACTTACTTTTTTCCTTATTTAAGTTATTTAAATCTCATACACTTAAATTACTTCAAACGATTTTAAACAGTAAACAGTTAACTAAAATATTCATACAAACACTAAGACTGAACATTGAAAATATTATAAAAGTAAATTTATACTTTAAATTATAATATTGTATAAAGTTCTCTCTTATTCTAAAAAATTTCTCCTCACTTGTCTATGTGTTACAGCAGATTCCCTACTGTCCACGCTGTTAGATTGTGGAACTCCTTTCCTTGCCTATCTGTGAGAGTCAATCCTTAAATATTTTTAAGATTAAAGAACACCTTTTATCTTTTGGGTAGTTTATTTTATGTATGCATGTGAAATATATATATATATATATATATATATATATATATATATATATATATATATATATATATATATATATATATATATACAATTGATTATGTATAAATTTGATGATTATTATTAAATTTTATATGGGTAGAGACCATATTTAGCGATGAGCATTAATTTGTGAAAATGGTATGCTTAATTGTTATCTGGGTATATAAATTGCTGAAATGAATGTGATTAAAAAAGAGTTTGAGATAATATAAGCTATGAGAACTTAGTTCCAATTCTTCATTTATTAAATTTAAATGGGTTTATTCAATAATTATAAATTATAGTTATTTAGTAACTTGTTATATAGTAAATGTTTCAGAACTTGACTCATGGGTTGTCCATTTTAATACACTTATAAATTATTAAATCAAATTGCCATAAACAGCCATAAATAAAAAGAAACAAATATTTCATAATGTTCTTAAAAACACATATACAAAATCACATGCAGCTAATGTAGCATAGGTATTTAATGATTAATTTATGGAATTACTTACCATCATACGTTGACATTCTATTTGTTTGGAGGGGTATAACTTGGTCTGGGTTGACGGGCGACATAAGGAATTGCATCGGACCATCATAGCCTGTTATAAAAAAAAGCGCATAACAAAAATAAATGTACTCAAGACACAGCTCATGCATATGAGAACTAAACATTAAAAATAACTTTCGAACATCTTAACATTTAAAATTAGAATATTTTTAAAAAATACCGTGCAGTTCGCGCGAACGACTCCCTGATATGGGCCGCTTAGCTGAACCAACCCTTAAATCGTTGGCTTGCACCATACCAGAATTTTGCCTTTTCTGTTTCATTTTTATCTCCATTAACTGTCGCTAAAATAAAAATGCGTCAGTGGTTTATTCAAGATAACTCATGATCAGCCAATGGTTTGAATTAGCAAAAATGTTACTCACTTGCTGCTCGATTTTTTGATCGCGAACGTTCATTGATGCCATTGTGGCAGTTGACGATAACTTAGAAAATAAATTTAACTATTGTGCTTTACAGTTATACTTAATTATTAGAACTTTTATCTCAAAATTGATAAGAATAATTGGCATTTTGTAAGCTCATTTTTGTTTATAAATCATCTTGCCTACCGTTGCCGAGGAATATAATGTTGCCAATTTAATTTGACTATTGAAAGAAAAGTTGCCATAGAGAAAAATTTTACAGCTTAATATTATTTTATTTTTTAATTTTTACAAAATATCACATCTCCCCTCTTAAAGAGAGGAGATGGCAAATTAATCCCCGGCAAAAGAACAGTAAGCCGGGGTTCAGGGCCCCAAGGAGAGAAACCGGAGTACAATGCGGGCAGTATTTTAAATTTTATAAGAGCACTGTTTTCTGCGTCTTTCCCGGGAGTGAGCCGCTTCGGAATCCCAACCGTCTAAGATGTTGTTCCATAAGACCGTTCATCGACAAAACGATTGGAATGATATTTTATTTATTATTATTATTTCTTGTATCTGAATTCCAACTACATATACTAACAATGAATTATATTTAAATCATCATCATCATCTCAGCCATTATCCGTCTATTGCTGAACATAGGCAACTTCAATATACGGACAAAAATATATTTTCACATTAAAACTAGACGCAAATCTATATGTTCTTTTTATTATTTCTTTCTTTATTAAAAGTAATTTTTATTTAGACACCTATAAAAATGACGGATTTAGGATTTTCGTTATATATCATTATCATAATGGTCATCATCATTACATCAACTGTCAACAGTTTATTGATGAACCTGCCTCTTTTAGAAGGTTTTGCTAGCAATTGCTATGCTTGGCAGCCAGGTTGGCAATCGCAGTTAGGCTTTGGCGATTTTTAAAGGAGTTTACCCATCTCTTGATTATTAACGTCCCTTAGTTACCTTTTACTATATCATCGGGAAAATAGGGGATAACCCATTTTATGCCGGGACTACATGGTTATGTATCTATTATACAGCTAGGTATCTACAGGTACTGTAGAACTTTTTTTATACTACTTTGGTGATAAACAAGCATACGACCTGTCTGATGGTAAATAGGGTTATCGCAGTCTGTGGACGCCTGTAACATTAGGAATCACGGGGTCGGCTGTAGGCAATATACCGAAAAGTTCTTCAGAATAAATACAAGCGATAGAAGATGCAAAGAAAAGCAAAGTCTTGTCTTAAATTAAGGGGTTCAATACCGCTTGTTAACCTGAAAGAGTCTACAATTCTCATAGAACGCCTTTGGAAAAGAACTAAGCTAGCTGGTATACAGCTTCCGCCCATAAGTAAGAATAATACTTTATACGGGGTCAGATTTATGATTTACATAATAGCAGTGTCTGTCCCGGGATAAAGTACTGCTTAGCTTTATTTAGCATTCCGAGCATTTTGGATGCCAGCTTGATTTTGTCTTCCGAATGACTTCGGAACCCGACCGTACTGAAAATGTCCACACCAATAATTCCAATGTATTTGGTGATGATAACGGATATGTTCTGAATTTTCGGAGCCATAAAAAATGAAGTTTTCTTAGTGGTGAACACGCAAACTCGTGTCTTAAGCTCGTTGTTCTCGTGTCATGTAGGGTTAAAAGTTTAGTATTTTTCAGTTGAAAACTTTGGCAAGAGTACTCTTGATTATACACAAACTGTTCGCAGTTGGGCTCTACAACAGGACGAGAAACAAAGTCGGGTTATAAATAAAACAAATTCGGGTTAATTACTTCATTTATAACTCTAGAACGGCGAGATATATTTTGATGACCTATGATTTCTTGGATTCGTTTCTGCCCCAATATATATATATTTATATAACTGTAGAAATATGTGACAGACTTATGTTGTTTTTTTCTAAGTGATATAAAATTTTCCTTAAATACATATCTTGCATTTACAGACAACTTAAGTTATAATCATAATTAATATTGCCAATGCGAAAGTGAGTTTGTAACGCTTTCACGTGTGAACCGCTGAATAGATATAATCTATTCAGCGGTTTAGACGTGAAGATAAATTCTGATATAAATATATATAAATGGATATAGTTTTCGCGAAAACCTTATAGAGGTTGGGGCGAGGGAGGGATAATTTTTGTTTGAAACTTTTATTGCATCGTCCAATTTGCTTTAAACTTTTCAGACTTATCACTACATATAATATTAAAAAATGAAATCCGAAAATTTAATAATTCATTTATGTAAGAAAGTTGCTTTTATCATTGCAACACCCAAGAACACCGAAATCTTGAGAGCCGTAAAACATATTAATTGAAATCTTTGTGCTGCACCACTTTCGGATGCAACACAAATCATTGCTGTCAACCAAATATCAATGTCATATTGTCATATGTTTTCAAGTTGTCATTCAGTCTTTTAATTCTTTTTCTTCCAAAATGGCTCCTACTCGGAATATTCTTGGATTTTTAAATCCAAAAACTATTAGTGCAGTTATTTCTAGTAATGTATCTAGAACTCCTTGTAGATTTTTGCATGGCTGTAGAAATAATTGTGATCAATACATTAGCGGCCCTATTGTAACTGGTGTTACATTTCCTCATAAAATATTTAAATGTAAGTTTTTTACGCTATTATTGTATTATTTGACTTCTGATCCCTATTAATTACTCATTTGTAAATTCTGTAAATCATGAACTAAATCGTAAATTTCAAATCTTAAATTTACTATTGCCCGTGTGTGAACCTAACCTCAAAAATTTATTCAGGTAATATAGGTCACAATTATCGACAATTTCATACCTCACGAAGCTTAGCGAGAGCCGATTATTATAAAGTCTTGGGTGTGTCCAAGAACGCGTCGGCAAAGGATATAAAAAAGGCGTACTATCAGCTTGCAAAGAAATACCATCCTGATGCCAATAAATCTGATCCAGAAGCGTCGAAGAAGTTCCAGGAGGTGTCTGAAGCTTACGAGGTTAGCTAAAAAAAATGAAAATTTTTTATGTCACATCTATCTTGTATATGCACTTTCTTCATAAGTATATTTTTTATTTAGGAATTTGTTATTTATATTTATAGTAATAACAAAAATACATTTCTTTATTATAAATTTAATTTGTTTAATGTTTAATAAGCAATTTAATTCAGAACGATTGTAATTAATCACATTTTCCAGATTCTGTCAGATGAGAATAAACGTAAACAATATGATACATATGGTACTACATCAGAGCAAATGGGAATGGGTAGTGGGCCTGGTGGTGCTGATGGTTTCACTCATCAGTGGCAGTATAAATCCACCATAGATCCCGAGGAGTTGTTCCGGAAAATATTTGGAGATGCTGGCTTTAAGAGTGACACATTTAGTGATTTTGCTGAGAGCCAGTTTGGATTTGGTGCAGCTCAGGAAGTAAGAAATATTTCATTATATACACTCAGAATGTCTGTCTTTGTAATTCTATCAGTGTTAATTTTTAACTTTTAAAATGGATATCTTTGCAGGCAGATAATTATTTTCAAGGGAAAAAAATCTTCATCTCATGTCTCTCAAACCATCTTTGTATGTTACTTTTGGTGGGCAAATACCTCTGAAAGTTTTGACAAGTCACTTGGTTTAGAATGTTCTGTTTCACATAAATAGTATTATGAAATACAATATTATTCATAAGACTCATTCTGACAGATAGACTGATTTCTCTATGCTAACATGAAATAGGGGTTAGAAATTTGAAATTTTGTATATATAAATTGGAGTCCTCGACTAAAATTCCCTAAAATATGTACATAAAATAATTTGATAGAGTTGCCAGTGGTGCATAAATGCAATGTTATTTTCAGGTGATTGTGAATCTGAGGTTCACAGAAGCCGCACGCGGTGTGAACAAGGACATAAATGTGAATGTGGTTGACACATGCCCCAAGTGTATGGGCTCTCGATGTGAACCTGGTACCAAATCTATAAAGTGCACATACTGCAATGGTACAGGAATGGAAACATTTTCACGAGGTGTGTTTTAAAATTCTTTAATTGTATAATATATTTTATTGGAACTATCAAAGTTGGATTTATCTTAACAAATATTATTATAGCTTTACAAATTTTTTCCTGTTATAAAGATTGTGTATTTATTTTTTTATTTAACCTTTATTGTACAGAGCATAGAACAAAAGTTTTTAAAAGTGTCATAGAATATACAAATATTTAAATACAGTATAAAGTTACCAATTTCTGTAAATAAGTTAGTCATTGCAACTGGTACTAATGCAAGCAATCAAAAGATTAATGAGATCTTAATAAAAGGCAGGATACACAGTTTCCAAATAAGAGAATTAATTCATGGTAATCCAGTTATTAGGCTTTATTTTTTATTAAAACTAATGAAACATTCTTTTTCCAGGTCCATTTGTAATGCGGTCTACATGCCGACATTGTCACGGTACTAGGATGTTAATTAAGTTCCCCTGTACAGAGTGCGAGGGCAAGGGACAGTCTGTAAGTAGCATTTAATAAATTTCCCTTTAAATACCATATTTCTCAAAATATTTATTATTAGAATAGTAGTAGTAGTACACTATCTATCTATCTTATTTAAGAGTTGCGCTCTTGTCGGTGGAGCTCTTGCCACTCGCTACGATTTTTAGCTAATCTCTTCACCGCTTGATACGACACGACACCAACTCCTCCCTTGATCTGCCTGATGTAACTATGCCTCAGTCTCCCTCTTCCCCTTCTTCCTTCTATCTTACCTTCTATTATAATGTTCATAAGTTCGTCGTGTCGTATCAAGTGTCCCAACACAGTAGTACACTATGTAAGAAAGACTCTGTTTTCCGCACTTAGCCTCTCATTTGGGCCGCTGTGCATCAGTAGTACACTAATAAATATATAATTTTTTTTACAAACAAATATAGGTGCAACGTAAGAAAGTTACTGTGCCTGTACCAGCCGGAGTGGAAGACGGTCAAACAGTACGCATGGCAGTTGGCAATAATGAGATATTTGTAACATTCAAAGTGGAGAAATCTACCTATTTTAAACGGGACGGGCCCGACGTACATACTGATTGCACTGTGAGTTCAATAAGTCAACTATTATATGTCTAAGAATAAATGCATATGTACTAGAGCTTCAGAATTTATTTTTATAACACTTAGAATGGCAAACAAGCTATGCAATAATGCTATCTATTATAAGCGCAAAATATTTGGTATAATAATTACCCTTAATAACTTATTAATATTCCATTGCTGGATACTTGGATCACTGTAAGTGGAGAATATTGTTGCACTGGATGCAGGTGGCTCGGGACCATTTCTTATGTTAGTCTATAGGGGAAACCTATGTTCAGCAGTGGACAGATAACGGTAATATAATGATGATATATATTATGTGACGCTATGGTTCTTGCTGTGACGCTATGGTTCTTGCTGAAAAACAGCGCTGTAGCGCTTCAAGCGCTGCAGCAATATGCTGAGCACGGACCTACATCACAGAACATTGCGACACACACGCGCGCACGCGTACATTATAATTTAATTGCTATCTATTTGTATATAATTATTATTTTCTTTTGTTTGTTTTGTTTTTGATTTCTTTTGTTTTTGTTTTGTGCGTTACTGTGTGGGCCGCATGTTTCTTTTGATTAAATTATTTCTTTTTTTCTTTCTTTCTTATGCTTTATTCTCTTTTTTACAACCTCTTTGTGACAAAAAAAAAAAGAACATAAATAAGGTATTATCTATATATCTTGCCAGTATCCCAATTATTTGGAGTCCACGTAATATGTTTTTATTCATATTACCTAAGGCGTTGGCTTTTAGTTTCATATCAGCCATTAACTGTCCATTGCTGAGATAAGGGTAAATTTATTGATTATTATAATTAATTGATTTTCAGATATCCATATCTCAAGCTTTGCTCGGTGGAACTGTCCGGATACAGGGTCTCTATGAAGATCATACAATACAGGTTTGTAATTATTGCTTATTTTAAATTTCAGCTGATTATTTGGGTAAAACATTACCTTTTAAGGGTTGTTTTTGCTTTAAAATCTGTGCCCAGAAAGAAAAGAAAAGAAAATTTTAAAATAGACATTTTCTCTCTGGACAAAATTTTCTTTTGTGTAAGCCATACACTTGCTGTGTGGCCCGGTAGAATAGGCCATCCCTTCCTTTCCCATGGGTGTCGTAAAGTGCGAAAGGGAGGGCGAGGGATGAGTAGCAGCGCCCCTTTGGAAACATCTTCAAAGCCTAACTGCAGTTGCCAATTTGTCTGACAAGCATGGCAACCATTGGGAAAATCCCCCTTATAGGGCAGGCTTATGTTCAGCAGCGATTAAAGGTTGATATGATGAAGCCATCTACTTGTACTGCACATGTCCTTTGTAGCAGTATGCCATTTTAGAGGTCTTATTGTGGTTGGACTTAAATTTATATCCAGGATTGTCGTTAGTCCGACCTACAAACCTGCTAAGGCGAGGCAAACATCAAAGAAAGTTTTATTTATGCATAAAATCTATAAGTGTAGTAGTGTAGTTTATGTTTTTCATTACTGTTCAAGGTATTTCTATAATCCCTATATATATAGTCCATAAACGAAGTATTAGAATATTTAATTATGTATTTCATTGCCACAAATGACACTTGAACTTTTTACATTTTTTACAGTTATCTTGACTTATAAATTTGAATTAAGATGTCCTATCTGGTTAAAATATTTTGATTATTCGGATCTATTCTGGGGCACCATTCTCATAAACCTATGTTTAAAATTAAAATTTTAATTTGATATTACAACAAAATCCTTATTGTTGAGACCAAAATGAATTAATTTTGTAAGTTAATATTTAAATCAATTATTATTGTTAAATTTAGTTTATAATGGTCCATAAACAGTAATTTTGTAATTCTATCAAATTAAAATATTAAGTTAAAAGACAAGTTTAGAGAAATGGTGCTTCAACATCGAGCTCATTGCCTATATAAAAAATAAAAAAACGAAAATTACAGATAATGCCGGGCACTTCGTCACACAGTACAATCCGTTTGTCGCGCAAAGGCATGAAGCGCGTCAGCCAACATGGATATGGGGATCACTACGTGCACATAAAAATACAGGTATGTAAAATATTAACACTTTCAACATTGAATGTTGGTGAGCATAATTTTTTTATTGCCATGCTGTCCCAGCATAGAATAGGCCACATCTTCCTTTCCTGTGGTGTCGTAGGAGGCGACTAAGGGAGGGCGAGGGATGGGCAGCAGCATCCCTCTAAAATAATCACTAAAAGTCTAACTTATGGTTGCCGACCCTCCTGCCAAGCGTGGCAACCATTGGCAAAACCCCCTAACAGAGGAAGGCCTATTTTAATAGAGGACAATTAACGGTCAATATGGTCTGATATGCCGACGTGAAGATACATTAATAAATACGCGGAATAAGACATAGGTAGTAGTCATTAAGCTCGGATGGATGTAAGAAAAAATATGAAAGAGATTTATCGAGCTTCGTGCTTGAATAGACTTGATGGTAAGGGCCGCACTAGATGGACGTATATCGGCCAAATAGGCGACGTGCTTAAGAAGGGTCAAGTTTCTCGTAATTGCTGAGCGTGTATGAAGTTTTATGAATGTGGAGGAAGCGAAAAAAGTTTGAATCGGAGCATTTGGTGTTCCATAATTACAGCTTCCATGGAAAATGGGCGTGACTGATATGTATACATGTATGTAGCTAGTAAAGTCTTGTCGGATGAAATTTAATTTTATTATTATTTACACAGGTACCAAAATCGCTGTCCGAAAAGCAGAAGGCACTTATGTACGCTTACGCAGAATTAGAAGAGGACACTCCCGGCCAAATTCACGGGGTTTCATACGATAGAGATGGTAAGACGAAATGAATAAATAAAATTTGTCTAGCAATTTTAATGTGGTCTAATTCATTACTGGTTAGAAATGAAATAATTGAACTTTAAGTTCTTAAGTTCGAAAGAAGTTTAAATTGGGAAAAGCTTGTAACTATTATATAAAATAAAACTTAAATGTGAAACCCTCATTAAACTTTAGTATTTTATCTTTTTTTTTTTAATAATAAATTAATTTAGTTTGAAACAGTGAATAGGAACACAGGTTTATTGTTTTGATATTTTCATAAACAGAATTCATAATGTTGCAAACATTTATTTATTAATAAAAATAAATATATTTAGTGTTGTAACCTCATGCAATTCTGATTAGAAGAAAATTAAAAAGTCCAATATTATTTGAGGAAATAAAAAATTTAAATTTCGATTAATTTAATCATCATATATTTGTCCTTGTCCCAATTATTTGGAGTTGGTGTTATATGTTTTTATTTATATTATACAAGGTGTCGGCTTTTGTTTCTATAAAAGTCCACTTGGCTGACGTTAACCCTCCTTGGCAATTCATATGTGTAGAATAAATTACTATGAATTAAGATAGAAATTGAACATTTATTTTACAGACAAATCAAATAATAGCAGTAAAACAAACCAAACGGACAATAAGGAAAACATACATCCATTGAACTGCGATTCAGATGAAAGTTCTCGCGAGAAAAGTAAATCTTGGACGTTTTTTGAGAGTCTAGCGGATTCCTTTAGGAATAATAAACAGTATTTCCTAGTAGGATTCGGTATGTCGGTCATAATGTGCCTGTTCGCAATATTGAATGACCGTTCAGATAGATACGGAGTGAATGATTACTTGAGAGAGATGGATAAAAGGCCGGAGAGGGAATTAGATAAGCCTCTGGGGTACGAGAGGGCGTTACAACGTGACAGAGAACAGAATCCGAAGTTGTATGATGCGTAAACTTGTAGTTTGAAATCAGTTGTACAAATATTATTTGATATGGTTATAGAACTAGCAAAGAGTCAATAATTTATTGTTATTATATTTGAATATTTGCATATAATGTTCTCTATATAATTATTTCAAAGTACTTAAGGTGATTAATATATTTCACGTCCATTTATTCTTGTTATGGAACCCAATTATAATGCTATACGAAATAATATTCAGTGGTAATTTATACAGAATTAATTATTAAACGACTCCATACATATGTCGTCTTGGCAATTCTCTATGGTAAGAACAGTGATTAATTTTGAAGATCATATGAATCGTATAATCGATAAAATAATAAACTACAAACATCGATTTTTTTTTGAATCCGCAATAAAATATCTCTCTTAAACTGTGGTGAATATTCTGATACTTTTCTAATTTTCTTCACCAAGTAATTTTATAATAATTATTAATGATTTATATGCCATTATCTCTATCCAGCAATGGACGGATACTGGCTGAAATGTTGATGATGATAATGATGATGAATCGTTAAATTTCTATTTGAATAATGACCCAAAGTTTTTTTTTACCCACGCACAGAAACCCAAAAAGGTTATCGATCGTAGTTTACGATCGCAATGTCATTGTATGGCAATGGCAATAGATTTTTGGCTTCTAGCGAACTTCTCAAGTGTATCTCGATTGCCAATTCGACTTGTTGCCAATTATAATACTAAGTAAACTATTCTGAATCAAAATATGAAAAAAAAGTACATTCTTCGATATTATTTGAGACTTATATTTAACATTTAACATTTTATGGTAATAATTACCATAACAAGCGGGTAATATCCACAGTTTGTTCCTTTATTAGAACGGATTTTATTGTGTCAATATAAATGCGAAACGTGAAATAATATGAAATTAATATTAGTCACCCTGTATATTTCAAATCTATTTCACATCAGCAATCTTTTACAATATCTCAAAATGACGTAGTACCATATACCAGTTATTTATATATTTTTTTTATGAACGAATCCCATATTTATTCTTATATGTACAAAGCTTTAATAGAATGGGTATAACAAATTAAAATCTGTTAATTGACAGTGGGTTTTATCTTAAAGTTCCATTCTCAATTACAACGAGTATATTTGAAACTAAAATTTTATTAAGATCTTACAGTAAAATCGGTATTCTATGAATGAGTATGAACTTCATACTATAAAGTACACGTAATAAATAGTGTTTTTATATAAACACATCACTTGAGAAAATATTAACCGGGCAGTGTATTAAAAAAAAATAGTCGAGTTTGCAAAGCATGTTAAAACTAGCGATTCGACCCGGCTTTGAACGGGTAGATGTAATTTTCGAAATTAATCAATAGCAGGTAGTAACATAACTCTGATAATTAGCTTTCTATAGGTGAAAGAAATTTTAAAATTGGTTGACTAGTTTTTGAGTTTATCCATTACAAACAATCAAATTTTAAAATCAAATTTTTCTTTTTAATAATATAAATAATTTATTTAATTAATATTATAGAAAATAATTAGTTAATTTGTATACGTTATAAGTAATATGAGTACTTTTGCTGAAGTATTAAATACTAATTTTGTTACTAAATATTTAGGGAAGGGTACCTCAGAATCGGTTCTAGTATTAATCAACTTAATTAATGATTGTGTCCTACGAAAAAACCAACTTTAATTGTGAAAAAACTTTTTTTTTTATTTTGATAAAATTTGTATGGGACCAATCAGTAAGTAAATATCATCATCTTGTCTGATAAAAAAATAATTTTTCAAATCGGTTTACAATTGACAGAGTTATAAGGTAACAACAAAAAAAAAAAAAAAAAGAAATTGAACCGAATTCAAAACCTCTTTTATTTTGAAGTCGATTGATTAAGTAATTTTAAAAAGAAACAATAAGCTGAAATCCTATTTTTCTTGTTGTTATGGATGGATCTTCGTTATTTTTTCATGCATACATTATTGAAACCAATTTGAATGAAATTTTTAGTACATGGAATTATTTATTATTGTTAGTTTTGATTGATTTATTAGTAATTTCCTACTTGAGAACATAGAATACTTTATAATTATATTTATACTGGGGATGCTATGGCTAGGCTTCGTTATACCCATTCAATTACAACATACAGTTTAGTGTATATTTATTAATGATGATTGAGAACGAATGAAAGTAGTGTTGAATGTAGAGTTTATCACCTAAGGGATATAGTATGATGGTCATACATGTATAATAGTGATTTTATGAATACATTAAATTCAAAGCTATTTGGTTGTTTCATTTAATATCCTATAGAAGACCTAACACCATCATGCTATACACCTCTTTTAGTTTTTTAGTTTGCAGCAACCAGGCGGTTAATAGGAAAGGTTTTTTTTTGATGGGTGAAAATGGTATGGTAACCCCGCCTGTGCTAACGGGATACGCTGGCGGAGCACCAGTGAAGGGTGATAGATGAGAATGAAAACAGGCCAGTTAGCCCATCATGATGAATTCATCAGGAATTAACCATGATAGCTTTCCGGGGGAACCGCGAGGAGATCGACCTGGTTGGGTATATTGCTAGCAATGGGATTCTCAGTCTCCATTACTAACAATCCCTTGCCCCTCAATAGGAAAGGTTATGAGTTTGTGTATTTGTATGTGAGCAAATATCTCATGTTACACTGAAATTTAAAATATTGAACTGAGTATTAAACATGAGGTGTGTCTTAATCGCTGATGCAGGTAATGGCGAGTTGTCTTTGTGGGCGAAAGGACTGTATGCTGGTATGGAAACACGGTGTTTTAGAAAGATAATATAATTATATAAAAAATATACAAAGCAAACAAAAGGAGCAAAAAAGCGAATAAAACAAAACTGAACTGACACAGACTTCAAATTATAAAAAGAACATCTTTTTAATAAAATTAAAAAAGAAACTAAAAAGGTGCGTCGTGCACAGTCTTTTTAATAAATAAATACTTAATGTTTTTTTTTTGTAGGAGACACGATGTAGTCGAAGAAGGTCTTATATTGTGAGTTAGGTTTACATGCACTATAAGTAGATTAATACAAATAATAGCATAGTTATGGGAATTTTATGACTAGTGTATTTTTTATACCATGATGGTGGCAAACAAGCATTTCGCCTGTCTGATTGTAAACGGTCACTGTAGCCTATGGACGCTTGAAACACTAGGGGGTCATCTGTGCATTGTCGACCCTGAAGAAACCTTACTCTTTAAATACCCCATACTGTAACAATGTTGTTTCGAACGCGATTTTCCTAATTTCAATTTTTGGATCTAATAATGTCATTTTTTCATACACGAGAATTTAAATTAAGTAAATAGAAAGTAATATAGCTTTTTCAATGACATCTTAATACATAAATAAGACATTGTTTTATTTTATTTAACTCAGAATGACCATCAAGCTGATGGTCCACTTGGTGGAATGGTAATCATCGGCTATGGACACTAGTTAGTAATTAGTCGAACATTATTAGTGTTATGAACATGTAGAAATATTTTCTTTTACCTTCATATAGTAGGACACATGTTAATATCACCTTAATAAATCCTGGTAGAGTCGATGTAGCAATTCGTTAGTGTAACGCGTATGAATAATTTATGTTTTGTATAAGATATGTATATATACAAATAAAAAATAAGGGTATGAAATTGTAATATCTAGCCATAACACTTATGAAACTAACACAATTTTTTTCCAATATGAAATAAATAGAGAAGATAAATAAAACTCATTTATTTTTTTTAAAGAATTTATAAATATCCTAACGCAAGGTATATCACAAAGCGTCATATAATTTTAAAATAAGCAGAGCGTTTGTATTATGGTTATTGACGAACATATAGTACATGTATGTATTTTCTATGTACACGTCGATTTACATATTGATATTTGTAATTTATTTATTACTATTCTATTTATACAGATAAGGCGCAAAAAAAGAAAGAAACGGATTAAGAGGGGTTGGGGGAAGAGAGAGAGAGAGAGAGAGGGAACGAGGGAGGGGGGAGACAGAAAGATACAGAATAGCTTTAAGTGCGTGCGTATACGTTTGTATAAAAATATAATTATCGTATAATTTACTGTAGATACTTGATATGGGAAGCATAATAAGGCAGCCTTAATACTGAAAGCTGTATTTTCAGGGCAAGATTAACTAAATAAATTGATCCATTTTTATGAAGGACATTTATTGTATTTCCCCACTTTCGGTCAGTTTTTGTTCAGTTTCATAAATGTTATTGTTGGATTTCACATAATTATTATTTATGTAGGTATTATTTGATTAGTCTGAAATATTCGCAGGCAACAAAATATCGATATCGGAGCCCCAAAACTTGGTGGACGCGGTGAAGGAAGCCCTTAAGGACAAGAAATCTATACAGGGCAGCACTCCTGATCCACCCGAGGACGACGTATTGAAAGAATCCAAACGAAGCAAAGGATAAATTTAATATACGAAATATAGGGTTTTCAACATCCACGTCTATTAGTGTTAAATTATTCCAATTTATAAATTAGGGTTGCCACTTCCAAACTACCGTTTATATTTTGTTAATGATTTTTTTTAATTTCTTTATTTTTCTCAACAGATTCGATTTAGATTGATACTAGACCACTGTGATAAAGTTTTTTTTTATCCAAAGCTAGATTATAGAGACGTTTTTTAAAGACATATATTTCATTGAAAATCTATATGTATGAATTCATAAAATATGGTATATCTACAATAATTACAATCACAGAACATAAAAAAGTGTATAAAACACTAAGAGCACTGTTATGTGTATTATTTTTTTTATATCTGTCTTTTGTTCTCATTTTCTGAACTGCTGAGTTCCTTTAATATTTGATAAGTGTGATCCTGAAGTCTTATTGTTAAATTGCATTATTCATAAAGACGTAAAACTTATTTCCACAAGTGTTTTTTGTCACTGTCTTTAAATTGAAGAATTTAGCGCGAAAGAAAGAGACAACACTTCTGTTTATAAATATGCTGGCTCTTTTCATTTATGTTGTTATTTATTAATTGTATTATATTTAAATGATGGTGGATATGGTCTGTGGATGTGATGTATTATATTTTTATTACCGAATGGTAATAAAAATATAATACATATGGAAATAATATGGAATAAATGTGGAATTTTATTTTCAGGTTAAAAATCATTAGCTAAAATAAGTTTATAGGAAGTTTGACATTTTTACGACAATTGGTTTAGTTAATTTTCTTTTTTATGTTCTGTGTTTACATAACATTGCATGAAAATATATTCAACACATTGCAAATTGAATGCAAACATTAAAAAGCTGTACATAAGCGTTGACTAGTTTGTAGGAAAATAAAATGTCATACATATTGAACATCGTTTTATTTCATACCCTATTTACAATATCATAATTATCATTATAAATATTAAAATGCTTTAGCACAACTAAAAAGGTCTATGGATGGAAAAAATAGTACAGTAGAAAATCTTAGCTACACAAGAAATAAGTTACACAGAGAAAAAATAATTTCAGATGAATATTTCGGATCAAAGGTAGTAATAAATAAATCTAATTAAAATATTTATTATGTCCTTATTTATCAAATATACAGATATTAACTCTTATGTCTATTTTAGAGACAAACATAAGATAGGAACGAAACGTAATCTCGATATATTTTAATAAATCTGTCGTTAGGTAACTAGATCATTTTTGTATAACATAAAAATTGTAAACAAGTACGTAGCCCGTATAATAAACTATTACTGTAGTCTATGGACGCTTGCAGCGCTGAATAAAACCTAAATACATCTTTTTTATTACTAGCTATTTCTTGTTCGTATAAATTAGTAAATAAAGTTTTCTGTATTTTAATTTATGATGTAGCCTACCCGTGTACCAAATTGCATTCAAATCCGTTCGGCCGTTTAGGCGTGATTGGATAACAAATAATTAAATATCTACAAATTTTCGCATTTTATAATGTTCTTGAAATTTCTAAGTTGTACATTATACAACTTAGAATGGCAAACAAGCTGACATCCCACCTGATGGAAAGTAGTAACCGTCGCCTATAGACATGAGCAGTACCATAGACATAACAGAGTATACTGTTTCGCCCGTGATACCCCCTATGCGTTGCCATTCCTAAGGACTCAGGTGTTATTCCTCTGTATCCAGTAAATTCACGCCATATCCCACCCTTCAAACCGAAACACAGCCATGCAAACACAACTTCTTCACGGTTGAGACACGAATGGGACAGAGGTACCCAAGCAATCGACTTTTGTACAAAGTCTCCCTCTGGTAAACTTCCATTGATATACTAACAATATGATAGTTAATCCCATAAATATGATCCCACATTTTGAGCAGTGTAATAAGATCTCAACACTAGTTGTAGTCCATATGTAGTCTTGACCTTATTACGTATTCATCCTGGTTGGGCGTAGTTGATGAATATTCTACTGATTATTTTGGATTTACATAGTACCTACTCGTATATGCGTACAGATAAGAGACTCGGTAAGTTCCTAATTTCCCTCCCAAAACAGCTTTAGATCTGTTTGTGATAGGATTGTTATTTAGAAAGCACGTGTATGTTATTTAGTTTCTTCTTAATTTTATGTTGTACACATTTGATTTATATATATTTAAAAATATAATTTAGAATTAAATTATGTTCTACAAAAAAAGTTGATTTCGATAGTGGCATAACCAGTTATTCTGATTTCAGAAGTAAATTACAAAACCGATTTTGATAAAAAAATTATGGGACTAGTCTGTAAGTTACAAAAATAAGTGTAACTGTTCTGTTAGATACAAAAAGTTCTTCAAATCGATTTACAATTAACTATTTACTATTAGCTAACAAACTAAAAAAATACATCCGAATTGAGAACCTTTTCTTTTAAAGTCAGTTAAAAAGGAAATATCAACTTTTGGGTTTTATCTTATTTAAATTTATTAATATAAATTCGAAATAGTTTTTTTTTGTACTGGATTTGTTATTTTTTTATTACAGTTTTTAGTTGTGTATGTTTTTGTTAGAGTTTAGTAAATTTGGGACATTATTAATTTAAATTTAAGAGATAAATATACAATAAATACCACTACATACAGTATGACTATTACATAACGCTGTCTAGTATCACTCTAAGCAGTTTGTAATATTGGAACTAGATAGTTAATAAACATAATTAGTTTTTTTTTGTAAATACATAATTATACCAATATAGAATTTACTCAAACCAATAAAGAAGATATACCTACTACTAACGAAACTATATTGTGTGGGAATCGAACCCACAACTATCAACGTTGTTAAACTTTATAACATGTACTTTGTTTACGATAATATGAGACGACCCTGCAAAATTCAAAGAAAAATGTTTCAACTAAGGAATATTTTTTTTTTTTTATACGACTTAGAATGGCAAACAAGCTGACGGCCCACCTGATGGAAAGTGGTAACCGTCGCCTATAGACATGAGCAGTACCATGGACATAACAGAGTATACTGTTTCGCCCATGATACCCCCCATGCGTTGCCATTCCTGAGGACTCAGGTGTTATTCCTCTGTACCCAGTAAATTCACGCCATATCCCACCCTTCAAACCGAAACACAGCCATGCAAACACAACTGCTTCACGATTTAAAACACGAATGGGACAGAGGTACCCAAGCAATCGACTTTTGTACAAAGTCTCTCTCTGGTAAATTATTATCTTTGGTCGGTCTGCTACTTAAAAAGTTACTTCATAAATTGAAATTATATGATTACACATATTGAACGATTGATATTATACGATTTGATATTAACGTGGACAATCTATAACTAAATCTAGTTATTAGTGATCCATGTTATCCATAGATTATATTTTAGCAGTAGCAAAAAGCCTGTAATATTCAGCTACGGAGTTGGCAGCGTCGCTACTGTGTCGGCGCAGGGTGGCCAGTGCGCAGGCTAGTAACGACATGGCGCCCTCTACGTAGAGACCGTAAAAGATCCTCACGTGACCATCCACCTGAGAATGAAAAACGTCATCATATTGTTTTTAATGGGTGAAAATAGAAGAGCAATCCTATCTCCAGTTTTAGGATACGCTGGCGGAACACCAGTGACATGATAGTTGAGGATGAAAGTCAGGTCAGGTGAAGGACAGTTGGCCTATCGCAACAAATTCGACCAGAATTAACTGTGATGATATTGATGGAGAACCGCGTGGAGTCCACCTTGTAGGGTATATTAATACCAATGAGGCTGCCAGACCCCAGCACTAAGAACCCTTTCCCGATCCGAATGACACCATTTGGAACTATCATATAAGGTGAAAACAATTAAGTACGAGGTGTAACCGAAATCATTATCAATGACGGGTTAAATCCTTCAGAGGCCCGGGGCGGCAAAGCTTGATGAGGCCCCTTACTTTACGAAGTTGGTATAATTTTACAAGCTTTTTAATCAACTCAAAGTAAAATCTTGCAAGAAGATGAGGAGATTGAAAGCATTTGGAAGCTTCCTAAGGCAAGAGGCCCTGGGTGGACCGCCCCTTCCGCTGCCCCATTAGTCTGTTATTGATCATTAGCATTCTTTTAAAGATGTATTCTATTCGTATTTCGAAACTGAACACTTTTTCGAAGATTTTTAATCTTAGGAATTCCAAAACTTTTTGTCGTTTTTTACCCATATTTCTTTGGAGAAAAAGCTCTGTTTCAATAGCGAAACGCTTTCATTCAGTTAAAGAGCCAGATATGAAAACGAAATTAATTCTTATTTATTATTTAAAGAATTAGAATTTTTTGTGACTATAGTGCGTTAAGTCATATGGTTTGGCAATATGCCAGTAACAAGTTTGGTGTTGCATGTATCAAATTTGTTAAGTAAATAATTAATTGATACCATCATGAATTTTTAATTAATTCGTCATTAAGGTTTAATCGTCCTGACTTCATCGTCATCTATCACACGTCATCACCATTCCATTTTTATTATATAAAAAATGTCTTACTTGTTCCAAGCCGCCAGTAGTAGTAAACCCGAGAGGGAATAGAACAACTTCGAGGCCGGTTTTCCCGCGCAACACGCCAAAGACTATGGCACCGCTTGTATAATAGAAAGCTGCCGCAAGAGGCACGCCGCGACCCGCACACAACACCTTCAGTAATCTCTGCATGCATAACAAATAATGTGAAATTTGTGTTCACTCCTTAGGGTTTAGGGTTGTTAACGATTCTATTATTATTAGTGCCCTCGAAACGTCTTCTGTTTTCATGAGAATTTCGGAAAATCCCTTTTGCGAAATCCCTTTGTAAATTTTCCCCTTCTCAATTAGATCCATCGATTTAGAGTAGTTATCCATTGTTTGTCAGTCCATAAGTGGTTTTATTGGGTAAATTGTATTGATTTTAGTCCGGTATAAAGTTATTGTTAATATCTTCAATGAGTATGTGGATATATATTTAATTTAACAGGCATCTACACAAATTTTTTTTGTCAGTAGTCGCCACGCTTGGCAGGCGGATTGGCAACCGTAGTTAGGCTTTAGAGAAGTTTTAATAAGGACGCTGTTGCCCATCCCTCTCCCTCCCTCAGCGCTTCTTACGACATTCACGGGAAAGGAAGGGGTTATAAATGGCTTATTATATGCCGGGACCACACGGATCTTCAGGAATACAATTGCGAAAATCGCATTCAATTTCGTACTGTAGTTTTTACGTGATGCTGGACAAATATACAGAGAGACAGACAAATGAAATTTTTACAAATTATTTCTCCTACTGAAACCTCTTACATCAATTTTTTTTAGATCTTCCATGTACAGACATTGTACAGTTACAATTTTATTATATTAGATAAAGATTAAGATAAGATGAAAACCTAATCTAACTTTATTATTTGAATGTAATAAGTTATAACATTCAAAATTTGAAGACAAAGTTCTTTAACTAGTGCGTGATATCAGTGATGATCTATAAACCAAAACGTGGTCCTACACGATCCGTACTCGTATGTAAAAGCTTCAAATTACTCAGTGAACTATGGAGAGGACTATGCTTGGAATTTCTTTGCGTGACAGAATCCGAAATGAGGATGCAAAGAAACCAAACTCATCGACATAGCCCGAAGGATAAGCAAACTGAAGTGGCAATGAGCTGGTCATATAGTTCGAAGAACCAACAACCGATGGGCGAGAAAGGTCTTTGAGTAGCGACCCCGTACGGGCAAATGCAGTAGGACGATCTCACATCAGATGCAGTGACGACTTTAAATCTATTGCAGGGAGTCAGTGGATGCACGTGGCTTAAGATCGTTCCTTATAGCAGTCTAGGGGGGAGGCCTGTGTTCAGCAATGGACAGACAATGGTTGAAATCAAGATGATGACTTAACTAAGGTGTATATGAATATTATTTACTTAAATTTATAGTTTGTTTGGAAGGTACTACCAGCTGGCAACCCTACCTCTGTTGCATTCTACATTCCTATGGAATCTAAAATTTAGACTACACCACGCTACGTACTGAAGGTAACTTCAACTAAATTAAATTTTATAGTGCATCAGAGGGATCCGAAAGGAAGTCTTACAGCAAAAATGCCATGAATAAGTAATTCACTTCCACCTTTTTCCATTTCTTGGAAAACACTATTGATAACGACTGTAATTAATACGCACTATCGAGGTCAGTAGAAGTAATTTAGAATTAAGATTATCCTAGTTTGGTGTCAGTAAGGGATGATCGACGAGGATGAAATCTGGTCAGGGCCAATCGATCTGACTTCATCCTCATCGCGTCTTTAATAGATGATAATGTAAGATAATGGCTGTATGCTCCTGGCATAGGATAGGGCAGTCTTTCCAACCCGTGGGTGTCGTAAGAGCCGACTAATGGAGGGAGAGGGATGGGCAGTAGCGTCCCTCTTAAAATAGATTTTATAAATAAATAAATAGATTTATTTTCTCTTCACAATTCATCACAGAGAGATACAATGAGACATGCTTATATTAAAGTAATCAAATTATAAATATAATTGTGAGAGACTGGTGCCTGAGATAGGCATAAGAATACCTGTATTACAGGTCACCAGGGCCTCACTCCGCAGGGTTACTTACTAAGTACTTGTAATATAATAAGTGAATTGTATGTAAAAAACATCTCTAAAGCCTGACTGCGGTTGCCAACCCGAGTGATGAGCGTGGATCCATCTTTGCGTCAAACTCGACATTGGATGACGGGGAGAAACCACCACCGACCATCACGTGTTGTAGGAGCTCTATGCCTGACATTAAATTCACGCATAGCTCAGTGCAAGACTTTTCTCTCTCGAAATCCATAAGTCGAGTGGGCCTGATGGTATTCCTATTGTGCTTAGGACGTGCGCACCAGAGTTGGCTCCGGTTCTTACGCGTCTTTTTCGGCTTAGCTACTCATCGGGCATAGTCCCAAAGTTTTGGAAGACTGCTCTGGTGCATGGATAGTTAATGGTTTATGTGATGATAGTGATGATTTTGATGCAAAAACGACATGAAGAACGATTTCATTATTATTATTATTGGCTACAGTGCAAGTTTTCTCAAGGAACGTAGCATTTCGTAGTCGACGGTGCATCAAACTTTGAATGCTGGTGCTTGTTTGCTCCATCTGTTTCTTCTGCATATCAATGATATGTTACAGATAAGTAATATTCATTGTATAAAAAAATATTATGCTTATATCATGATTAGTTTCGATCGAACAAAATCTTGTCCAATTTAACCCCAAAAAGACACAAGTCTGGTTTAAATATTGCTATTCATTTTTTAACTGTGAAATATTATGAATATTATGTAGATTTGAGAGTGCTTATATTATTAAACCGCCTTATATAAGCTCAGTAAATCGAATCTAGTACTGTAGGATGTTGCGTCTCTAGTAGGATAGGGTACAACCCGCCACAAACTAAAGTTTCATCCCAATCATCGTGCGTTTTTCGATACCATTCTTTGGAATCTCCAGCAGCCCTAATACGTAATAAACAATTATAGTCATCTAGGACAACGGAGAAATGATTTCATTATTATTATTAGTACAGTAACCGTTTACCATCAAACGGGCTTGTTTGCCATCTGCTTGGTATAAAAAAATATTATGCTTATATCATGATTAGACGGTAAGTAGGTTTAAATATTGCTATTCATTTTTTAACTGTGAAATATTATGAATATTATGTAGATTTGAGGTTTATATTATTAAAGTTAGTAAGCTCAGTAAATCGAATCTAGTACTGTAGGACTAGTAGGAGGGATCTCGATACCATCTCCCTAATACGTAATAAACAATTATAGTCACTAGGACAACGGAGAAATGACTAGTACTAGAGTTAGGTATAACAGTGTTACTATTAACTGGGTTATCTTTATAACAATAAATCAATTAATCCAACCTAGACTATAGAATCTAGATAATTCTATATCAAAACTATATCAATACCTATTATTTACTTTATGAATAGAATATAAGTTTGTTTGTTAATTTATTAGTTTGTTATCTCTTAACGTTTTAATAATAATTTTATTTACTATGATTTGAACAGTTTAACTAATCGTCAAAAAATTTGGTTTACACGTAACTTTTTGTATAGAGAAAGGTACTTTTTATCACTGTATTACGGATTTAATAGTATTTAACATATCATTCATATATTATTATTATTATTCAATATACTATTCAACATAATATTCAGGAAAAAAAATGCGAAAAAAATGCGTTATTATTTGAGTGTGGAAAAAAAACTCGCTCTTAATTCCAAACTAGGTAGGTAAGTACAAATACTTATTTTCCAATATGTCTACGAGTATTTACAGACGAATCAGACGATTGTTCTCTTATCAACCGACTTCAGAAAAGGAAAACGGTCTCAATGTGTTTTTATTTTAACCTTTTTTTGTTTGTTGTCTCATAACTCCGTCATTTATAAACCGATTAAAATTTTTTATTTTATCTAAAAGTCTGGTTCTGGGGCTCATAATATTTTTTTTTGATCATTATTCATTTATTCGAAAAAACAATGTACTTTGTGTCTAAAATTATATATGATTTTACAAAAAAAAAACCTAAAAAATTAAATTAAATATTAGAAGTATTGTTATAATAATAACAAATGTATTTCCCATTTAACAATGTCAGTTTCACCCATAATATATTATGTCAATTTATTTTTCATTCATTCTAGTATTTACGTTATTCATTAACCATTAGTGTATACTTACAGATATTTTGTTGCAAATAATTTTGTTTGGCCGCTGTATATTCCCGCTGCGGTGTGGATTTTCTGAAATAAAAAAAAAAATATTTAAATTATTTAGTAAGCATACATCTACACTAACATTGAATTTTGTAGCAAAATATAAGGAAGACCTGTGTTGAACAGTGGATGATAAATGAGCGGTATTGAATGAATAATACACATCTAGTATTTACAGTGAAAATATGCAGGCAACTATGTAAGTGCAAACACATGAAAATTTAGAGTTATACATTAATTAAACAATGTTTAAATGGATGCACTACACTATCTGCACTGAACAAGCACAGGCGTGTATATAACAGTCGTTTAACGTGTGGTTATCGCGTGATTGGTTGTTCTACGGCCGTTTAATTCGCTGTTAATCCCAGCTGGATTGCTGTTAATTATCGTATAGTATTGTTAAAGGTGGGAGTTATGTTCACTAACGTTCCATTGTTATATATCTATGTCCAATTAATTTGTGATATGTCACCGATATATATATATATATATGTATATATGTATTACGCGCGCGTTGCCGACCCCGAAAAAACCTCTTTACCCCCCTTTTGAAGAACCCCATGCTGTAGTCTTTTGGGAAAATCACGTAGAAACTACTAAATAGATTTAAATGAAATTTAGTACACAGGTAGGTAGTAGGTATATCCTAACTACATGGGACTTACTTACTTACAATCCCTTTCCCCCAAGAGGAAGGGAAAGACCAAGGAAGAACAGAAAGACAAGAAGATACATGGGTCTGATAAAAGAAACACTAGGTGTCATGTCGTATAGGGAGGTTAAGGATATGGCCTGGGATAGAAGTGGCTGGAAGAAGATGCATGAATAAGTTGTACCGACAAGAGGAAACTCTTAAATGAAAAGAAGAAGAGATTAGCACGTAATAAATTCTAATAATTACAGAAGAAGGAATGCTGTGTGGTCCCGGTATAGGATAAGCCATTACTTCCTTATCGGAGGGTGTCGTAAGAGGCGACTAAAGGAATTTAATGGTCGAGGGATGGGCAGCAGCATTACTTTTATGATTGCTTGGGTATCTCTGTCCCATTCGTGTTTCAACCGTGAAGCAGTTGTATTTGCATGGCTGTGTTTTGGTTTGAAGGGTGGGATATGGCGTGAATTTACTGGGTACAGAGGAATAGCACCTGAGTCCTCAGGATACGCATGGGGGGTATCATGGGCGATACAGTATACTCTGTTATGTCCATGGTATTGCTTATGTCTATAGGCGACGTTTACCACTTTCCATCAGGTGGGCTGTCAGCTTGTTTGCCATTCTAAGTTGTATAAAAAAAAATCATTAAAAACCTAACGGCGGTTGCCAATCCGCCTGTCAAGTGCTCAGCAGTGGACAGTTAATGATTGATATGATAAAGATGATTTATATACTCGTACTTATATACCTGCTTTGTTATTTCTGTTGTTCTTGTCATTTCTTCGTAAACGTCGAATGCAACGATCAACGTTGTAAACAATACATGTGCTTGCGTTAACCACTGGAATATTTAAGACACAGAAAATATATAGACATTGCTAGATATAATCATTTGAATATGTTGTACTGAGGTAAATTTTTTGGTTTATTACAAACAGTATAAGTATATATATATATATATATATATATATATATATATATATATATATATATATATATATATATATATATATATATTAAGTAACTATAAGGTAACAACGTACAAACTTACTTTTACATTTATAATAAATTTTAAAATATATATTGTAATCATTTCAAAACAAGGCATACAAAAGGTATCTGCTTGGGTACCTCTGCCCCATTTGTGTTTCTGCCGTGAATCACTTGTGTTTACATTGTTGTGTTTCAGTTTGAATATGGCAGTGAAATTTCACATGCACAGGGCACAGATGAATAACAGTTTAGTTCTCAGGAATAGTAACACGTGAAGTGTATCATGGGCGACACAGTATACTCTGTTAAGTCCGTGGTTTAATAAGTTCATATCTACAGGCGACGGTTATCACTTTCCATCAGGTGAACCTTCAGCTTGTTTGCCATTTTAAGTTAAAAAAAAAAAAACAGAAAAATCCACTGAATCCCTACAACGTATTTGAGGTTATTGCTCTACCTAGTGGAGGATCATTTTAAAAATTAAAATATGATAAAATATTATCAACTTACTGAGGTAAATATGTGTAGGTACAGCTAAGATGGCATATACAAGACTTGAAGTGCGCCCCCATAGCGTCTGTGGTACAGGTGCGCCGAAGCCTAAAGTAAAGAAGTTTATTTAGTTTAAAACTTTACAGAAAATAAAACGGTGCTTTCCTAGAAACTAAATTAGTATTTTTTATTACACTCTGTTTTCATATATCTTAAACAGATGAATAATTAACTTGACCATAAGATAGTGGGAGCGAAGGCATTGTTAGTAATGCGGATTAGAAACTTCCTCGCAAGAAACAAATCCTGTCAGGTCGACCTCCTCGCGGTTCCCCCTGGAAACCGTCATGATTAATTTCTTGTCGAATTCATCTCGATGGGCTAACTGACCTGCTTCATCCTTACCTATCATCCCTCACTGGTGCCTCGTCGGTGTATACCGATAGCGCTGTTTACCATTCTATTATCACCCTTTAAGACCATAAAGTAGTCTGGTGATGTCCAATAGTAATACCAATCAAAAATCTATTATTTGTAACAAATTTGATTTATAGAGAGCACTTATGATAATAATAACAAGACTTAGTTATCATTTCATTCAGTTGAAACGAACTATATTTTGTTCTTTATTTAAAAAATTCAAAGTCACCACATTCTATGAAAAAAACGGATATTTAAAAATGACCGTTTGAAATTTTAAAATTTGTTTAAAGATAAGATAACTGTCAAGTTTCTTTGTCATACCCAGTCTTAGTCAGAAGGAGATTTTGTATAAATAACTGAATTATCATTTATTTACTTATAAATTGCTTATTTTATTTAGAAATAGGTTTATTTTACAAACTTAGAAGTTTTAAAACAATATTTAGAAAATATATCTAATTTAGCCAGATATTAAATATATCAATATCTGGCTTCTGAGTAATCAGAGAATTGAGCAAAGAAATAGCCTGATAAGTGGGAACAAACTGAGTAGTACAGGTGCGAACCGGCGATACAAATAAATTACAAGAATACAGAGAAGTTGCGAAGCGACACATTGTCTTCATATGGTCATATTATGCATAGAAATGGAAGCCATGTTTTATAGAAGATGTTAGGTATGAATCTGGATGGATGAAAAGAGAACTATGAAAAGGAAATGGTGGATGGACTATGTTAAAGATGATATGCATAAAAGATGATTGAGCCCAGACACCGCCGTTGATAGTGATTTTTAGAAGAAGAAGATGTACTGCGCCAAATCCCAAGTAAATGGGATAAGGGATCAATGATGACAATAGTAATATTATAAGCTACAGTATTACTATTTATATCAGCTATATTTGATGAAACTGGGCGTAAATTCTGAAACTCGGCTTGAATTACAGAGAAAGCAATAATGTAGTAAAGACTCTTATTATGGGATCCTGATATAATAGCATTATTATAGGGATAGTATTATTGTTGCCAACTCAATTTAAATTTAGAAACAATTTGGATTCTATGACCATTGGCTCGAAATTAGAAATTATTCAGGTCGACTGAGCGTCGATTTCGTTCGCAGCTTAGTCTCGCAATGGACACGGAATTTCCTAATTTATGCGACACGTGTGTATTTCTAGGTATAGCTAGGTATACGCTCTCGAAATTCGGTTATACACTGTCGCTAGGGGTTACTGGCAAAATTTAGGAACATTTTGTTTTTAAATTTTATTAGTAGATTTTGGGCGAGGAGAATATTGAGAAATTGATTTTTTTTTATTTTGTTACAAAAAGAATATTGAAAAATTTAAATGGGGCTAACATACGAGTCAACTGAACTTAAGCCAAAATAATTTTATTGTTAAAAGTTTCAATTAGAAAAAAAGAGTATTAAAATTCATTATGATATTGCCTTAGATTATATAGATAGAATGTCTCCATATAAATGCTTCGAGAAAAGCGGGTCAACTTTTTCATACATTTTTGCGTGATAAATAGTTATGAGTGACTCCTTTATAACTTCTATATTTATTTTATCTTATAATTTCTGCATTTTTTCCTGCGTAAATACTCATTTTATATATTAAATAATACATCAAGATACATTTTATGCGTAAGTATCATGAACACTGATAAAAAAACGAGTCAGCAATTTGACAATTAGTTGACAAAAAGTTGATCCGTTTTTAAGACTCGTTACTCTATCTATATAATCTAAGGATATTGCATACATGATAAAATTGTAACCCATGCAGCATGCAGGTTATTAGTATACGTTGCCAAAGTACCATATCATTGGTGAATATGAAGTCAGGTCAGTTGACTCATCGGGATAAATTCACTAGCAATTGTCCATAATAGTTCCCATGGGGCGCCGCGTGGAGATCTACTTAATAGGGTATATTGCTAGCAATGGGGCTGTTCATTCCCATTACTAACAATTCCTTCCTTTTCTTACGGTAATAAGGACAGACCTAGGGCAGTCATAACGTAAACGGTGAACAGAAATGTTCCAGATAGATCCCAGAACTGGCCGGGATGTAGTTTAGCGCCCTGGCCAACGGCCAGCATAGTTAAGCGTCTCTCGTCCTCCATGCGCCTTTCTATTGCATTTTTCCATTTTGGAGATAATGGGGTGATCTGAAAGGAAACAGTAAATATTTTATGTCTTGGAAAATTGGTAAGTGGTTCTATACAGGATACGCTGTGAAGACACAGCTGTTTCTCTTCCCGGAGTGTGTGAATAATTACGATAATATAAATAATTATGATTACAAATAATCATTAAGTACAGAGAACTAACAAACTTAATTAATTTGAGCTTTTCTGAGTTAGTATTCTTTTATTTTAATATTTTTTGACATTTGAGAGATACGTATAAACATAAAAACATTAGAAATTAGATTTCAGGTAATTTTATATGCCGTATACCATGTCTGCCTAGATGGTATTAGTCAAATGATGTAGGTAGGTATCATTAATTCTAACCAAAAATACGGGTTGTGGGATTTTCTAGTCCGATTAGTGGTACATATTTAATCCCGCTTAAGTCGGCTGGGAGGTGGCAATAACAAAACCGCCTTGATTAATTGCCACAAGCAACATTGCGGAGAAATTAATTCAAGTGGGAACGCTTTCTGTACCATTAGTTAGCTCATTGCTCTGTTAGGTAGCTAAGTTGCCATTTTCTATGGCATTACACACGGATAAATAAGTACACTTGTGGACAAAAGCTTGTTTTCTGTAAGTTAATGAGGACTGTTCTTTTTTTTTTAGTTAATACCTAATTAATCCTATTAATAAAATAAATGTGAAATTTTGTGAGAATGGATGAATAGATGGTTGTTACTCTTTCACGCAATAATTACTAGGCTAGGTTATATTCTAATTTAATACAGAATATTTCATGTACTAATTCAAGCGGGCGAAGCCGCGGAATACAACTGGTTAATAATAAATACAGCGTCATCTAGTCTCAAACTAAGCAAGGCTTGTAAACATACAACTTGCTTGGAAATACACAAGTTTCAATAAAGTGGTTAAGCATAAAGAAAATTATAGACAATATCTTATCAAGAATCGGAATAATCATGTTGCGATCGAAGCTACCTACTGGATTGAATGTTATAGAAGTATATGCTCTTCCTAACGTTACAACTCCGTAAATTGATTAAAAACAAATGGCGAATAGTCAGGAGTCGAAAACAAGGAAGATCTCATAATGTTTTAGTTTTATTATTAACATAAATAAAAATAGACATTGAAAAGTGCCGGTTAAGGGAGTTAACATGTAAGTTAGAAAATATACTATCCTGATAAATATCACCGATTCCTAATGACTTGAAAAATTTCCAGACTTTGACAAGATCACGCTCTGTGATGCAGTCATAACAATGTAGCATCTTTGTGCTTTTTTACACACTATTGTAGCGATTTCGATATTTGAACTATTTAGCCCTGTTCTCATTACTGAGACGATGTTCGTAACGAGATTTTATGGCATCCTTTCTATGCATTAATGTTCTAATTTCATTATTAATCCACGGGGCTGGTGTGTGCGTAATTATGTTTTATACTCTTGATGGGTGCATCGTATAATTGAGTAATCAATTTGTTAAATTGTATGATCTGCTCGTCCACAGACACCGCCTCTCTAACAGGATATATGAAAATAAAAAATACATTGATCTATTATTTTGTCCTCAAGTGTTTTGGTTAGTATACATCGGACCATTAAGCAGGTGTTGTCAAGTGCAGTAGCCTATTTGACCTTCTGTGTTAGTGTCTTGTTCACATTGACTATCATAAGGATCCATGTAGATACATTGAAGACACTGCTGTTAATTCTACTTATAGCACGGTATAAGTAATAGTACTAAAGTATTAAGAGTTTGTAATAATATTCAATAGGAATACAAATCAAATATCGATTTATTGATTGTTTCGATATGTTACTAATAATTTATTTATTTATTTTAAATTTTATCACATCATTTATAAAATAATAAATACGGTTAATATTAATGAGAAGGGAAACAAAATGTGGCCGTTTTGCTAAGCAATCTTTTCCAGACAACCCTTGGGAAGAAGACATTCAGAAAAAGGACAAAGTATAGGCACACTGGCGCACTATTATAGATATACCAATATATACATATACATTCATATAAACAAATATATATAATTAATGTATATTAAAATACAGACAATATATTTATATAATTATATATATATATATATATATATATATATATATATATATATATATATATATATATATATATATATATATATATATATATATATATATATATAATTATAGCTTGAAATTCACAAGTCGATTGGGTCTGATGGTGTTCCTCCAAGTGTGCTTAGGACATGCGCACCAGAGTTGGCACCGGCCCTTACGCGTCTTTTTCGGCTCTGTTCTTTTTCGTCTCTTCAGGTACAGTCACAAAGTTTCCGACGATTGCTTTGGTACACTTAATCTCGATCATGTTGTACGTCTTCATGGACGATGGGTAGCTGCTTTCTATCAGGTGGACGGTCTGCTTGTTTGCCTCCGTAACAATAAAAAAAAAATAACTCGATTCCCATTTTATTAAGTCCTATTGAAAGACGTGGCGAGAGGCATTACTACGAGTAGCAACTAGTAATATACTTTGTTAGATTGATCTGCACGCGATCCCTTCAAGAAACTATCGTGGCTTATTCTTAATGAATTTGTGACTATAGGTTAATCGCCGTGATTTCATTTTCTAATATCACCCCTCACTGGTCCTTCGTTATTTGAAGAACCCCATGCTGTAGTCTCTTGGGAAAACCTCGGCAGGGAGCTCATTCCATAACCTGAGTGTTCGTGGGAGAAAGTATCTCTGAAACCGCGTTGTACGCGACCATTTAGGATGTAAGGTATGAGGGTGAACTCCCTGTCGATGGCGAGCCGTACGATGATAGAAAGTGGCCGTAGGCATCATATTGAATAATATTATATATAGCAATATCTATATATTTTAGTTATTTATATACTGGTCTAAGAACAAACATGTCGAATGTCTGTTATACAAATAATAATATTGGATAACTTTTATACTTAACAGAATTTTAACATATTCGAAAATAGATATCCAACCGATATGGGCGATATCGAATAGCGATGACCTTTTTCTGCTATCAATGTCCAGAGGAACCGAAAATATAGATATCGGATCGGTATCCATATTACCCATGCCTAGTTACAATATATTTAATAATAATAATAATTTTTATTTCGGAATTTTTGTGGTCCATTAAATATTTATTAGTAACAATATTTTTAAAACTAATGTTAGTAAATTTATATACACAATACACACACATAGATAATATATTAAATAATATACAGATAATCACCGCTGCACAATTCCATTGGAAATTGCGCAGCACTGATTAACGTACACACAGTCCAGCCTGCTCGATATCATACTCAGGATGCTGTTGGCGCTGGCACGTACTCTGCGCACCAGGAATGCACACCTTTTTCGCATCGTGGCATAAAAACAATCTACACGATGCTCGGCGAACACCCCTGACGCACTACAGAATCGTGGCAGCCCCATCAACACCCTGAACGCGTTATTAATTGTATAAGGAGGTCGCTGTAGGATTTTTGAGTATATACAGCCCACAGGTTGCATGCATAGAAAGATGTGCAATATGATCTAACACGTAGTTTTAACTTGTCTAGAGCACCGCGCAAACCTGCGTGCTATCATATTCGCCCTCACCGCCAGTGTCCTTCGCTCCCGTTCTATGTCATCATCATCTTTGAGATCCGAGGCCAATTGATATCCTAAATATATTTAAGCTAACATTTTTTTTTTAGTATTAATTATATTTAAAAATTGTGAAGCTTGTATAAACGTAACAAATTTCGACTGGTATTATTAATGGTTGAAAGAATAAAAATATGTAATAAAATATACGTATTGATATTTCAAATTTGCTTAGAAATAAATTCAAATAATTTATTAAATATTTCTTACTAAATACGGCTTACTAGACTGTGAATAAATTTTTGAATAACAAAATTATCTATTAATTATAAGAAATGTGTGCTTTAGAGTTTTTTTTTTATTTTTTTATACTAATAATGGCAAATAAGCTGACGGCCCACCTGTTGGAAAGTGGAAACCGTCGTCTATAGACATGAGCAGTGCCATGGACATAACGGAGTATACTGTTTCGCCCATGATACCCCCCATGCGTTGCCATTCCTGAGGACTCAGGTGTTATTCCTTTGTACCAAGTAAATTCACGCCATATCCCACCCTTCAAAACGAAACACAGCCATGCAGACAACTGCTTTACGGTTGAAACACGAATGAGACAGAGGTACCCAAGCAATCGACATTTGTACAAAGTCTCCCTCTGGTAAGTTGTATTATTATTTTATTTCACATATATTTATAATTTGACAGAATATTAACTATTATTAGTTATTAATTTATTAAAATATGTGTAATGAAATGTAATATTTAATTGCAAAATAAATATTTGAATTTGAATCATGAAATGGTTTCACTCACGTGTTAACTCATGTTTTAACCTTGGCGTGGTTAGTGCTGCTGGCAACCATAAACCGTGCTCATAATTAGGTCTCCTATCGAGCCCGAAATTAGTCGGCCTGTCTAATTTCCATTTTGATTTTGTTTTGTAGTATATTAAATAATTTTATTGTACCACAGAACAGAATTAAAATTTGCTTCAAAAGCGCGAAATAGAATTAAAATTTGCTTCCATTACAAAATTTTGTAATAATATCCTTTTTTAACTTCATAAAGGATTAGAAAAGAATTGTTAAAATTGTTTCAAAGTGTAATAAGCAAGTTATTTTTTTAAACGGTTAAAAATAACACTAAAACATTTTTTTAATAATAATAATAATAAAAAAAAAAAAAAACTAAAGCAATAACAAAGACCAGAAAAAGTCAATTAAGATTAAGCGCAGTTCCGCAACTTGTATAATTCCCATTGGTGGTCTTCACCTCGCCTTAATGTTCCAAGTCGTTAAGACCCTTTTAGGATTACCACAGCAAAATATACATCTATTTAAAGCCCGTTATTAATAAAGGTTTCCATTGAAGTTTGTTAAGAAAATT